CTGACATGATTTATAAAAAAAAATTCTAAAATTGCCTGTTTATAAATTTTGAAATTATAAAGAAACTAAGGTTTCAACTCCCTCAGGCAAAGTTGACCTTAGATGGATTTGGCTATTTGTTTTAGGTATTTTTGTCATATAGCTCTTCAACTGTTTCGGTACTTATACATCCCTCGGATTTCAAATGTTTGGCTTTGAGCGTTCCTGATGAAGGTAAATCTAGAAAAGCGCTTCGGACGCATGAAATTATTAAACGTGTTGTTTTCAATTTTTTACATCCATATGAAGGTCAAGGGCAACATACATGACAATTCTGATGTTTTAAGTCTTTAAAAAAAACTTTCTTAATTAAAAATTTATTTTTGCAAGTTTTTCTTTCTTTTTATTTTTCTAAATAAAAAGAAATGGGATACTTTCAATAGCAAGGTGATGATGCTCAGAATTTCAATTTTGCATATAAGTTTTTTGGTGTCACGATTAGGGCATGTCAAATAATACTAGCCTGGCATCCTGGTCAAACCTCCTCTTCGCGTCAGTACGTCTGCTGTCGCGCAGTGAGCCAGGATCTCTGGGTAAAATTATAATACTTGTGTTTATATTCAGTGTTTATTTGTTTAAATTATAGGAGTCAATAATTTTGACCAGAAGATGATATGTGATTGTCATATACTTATTTATATCTTTGCTCAAGCTCAATTTATAGTATTGTTTTCTGAGATACTTACAGACTATGTATTTGATTTTAAATTCAACTTTGGGTCTGCTAATATTATTAACGGACCTGCCATGATTCACGTGTGAGTACCATGAGTATATACCTTGATCGTGAAGGAACTTCGATTGAGAATAGTACTCTTTTAAGTATAGCCGGTGCATCTTCCGAAGTTCGGTTAAAGGACGGTCTTCTTACAAAAGTGACTGTAGAAATAAAAAGTTAAGGGAGAATCTTCACAATTCATATCTAAAAGCAATGTTACAGCACATGTCTTTATTCCAAGTATGTATTTACAAAACTTATTATGTTCTATTGTTCCAGGAGGACTCTTATCGGAATTTTGAGTCCTGAATGCTCTTAAACTTCGTACTTTATTTGGCCTTTTAAACTTTTTTGGTTCGAGCTTCTTTTATAAACGAAACGCGCGTCTGGCGTACCAAATTTTTATCCTGGTATATGTATGATGAGTTTATTATCAATAAAGTTGAGTTTATCCGACGGACAATTATTTCTTTTATCATATAATCCAGAAACAGAATTTCACAATTATATGTAAAATTGGACGGACCAAATAGTTGTCAATCATACCTATACTCTCTTTATGATTTACTGACCTTTAGTTATTATTAATCCTTCAATAGACTGGATATATTAACATGGGAGCATTGTTTGAACATTTGTTAGATGCGTGCAACATTTTTTTAATATTTTATACAAAGAATAATATAAAATAAACAAATGAATATGCTGGCAGTTCGTTCACACAACTTGTACAGTTATCAATAGAGAACATAACTTCGAGTGTCGTTTTAAGTTGCTTAAGCAGATGACACTAAGTTTACCTTTTCCTTATTATAAGTGAAATTTTCACAAGAATTTCAACTTAATTCTTTTACAGGTTTTAAAACAGTGCTCCTGTAAACAAATATTAATTGTGTATTTTTTGTCTTTTAAGCTAATGACAAAGTACCATAGTATTAGTCTTTTTACAATTTACAGTGAGTTTGCTTTTATATAATTTTTCACTTTTTTGGTCTTTTGGAAAATGTTTTTTGTGCTGTATTTAGACCCCTCTACCAAGAAATTTGTTTTGCATGCACACGTATAAAAAATGCGGTTTTTATCTAACGCAATCATAGGTGTGAACGTTGTTTTCAATTCAGACTTGCTTGCTAAAAATATACAGTCTGGGTTTTGCTCGTTGCTAAAGGCCGTTGACCTGTACTTCCTGGTCATTTGGTCTTATGTGGATGGCAATCATACCACATCTGCTTTTTATTATTTCTATAAAATATGTACTTTTCATAAAAACAGATGACTTTTTATCCGTTTAAGCTTCTCGCGACACCTATAACTGAAAAAAAATCAAGGTGCTATAAAGTCAAACCAGAAAGTGCAAACCTCTTACAAGTTGTTTTTTCCCGTAACCTGTTTAGAGAGTATCTTGATTTACGACAACATATTTTAACTTTCTTTAACCCGTAATTGATCGGTCTACGACTAGTTGTAAAATTATTCATTTCTTCAAATATGTTACAAATCGTATTATCTTTCGTCAGAGAACATCATTACAACTTCGACTGTGGGGAAATTGATATTTTCACAAATCACAGATTTTCATCATACTTATCATAACTTCATTTCGAAACTTCGGTTTGTTTTTCTCTCTGTCATTTGCATTCAATTTTAAGAGAGTATTGCTTGAATGATCTCTGCTGACATAAAGCAGAACTTGTTCACTCAGTTGGCAATATTTCTATAATTTCTACAAATAAACTGTTATACAGCTTAATTGACAATACAAAAATGGTAATTGAAATATTCTGACTGGTCCTGCTGAGTTTTAGTTTTCTGTTGACTTTTAACATTCTGTCCCAGTTAAAATTGTTTTGTTTCAGTTTTGATGTGTCTCGCTTTTGTTTCCATTCATACAAATGATCAGAATTAAGAAGGGAAAAAATGTTTTGAATTAAACATGTGTAACCTCTACATTAGGAATTCGCATGTTTATGCCTTTAAGTAGAAATTTTAATGAAAAATTATTCAAAATAATTTTAAACGACAAATGCAATACTGTGTTAAAAGAAAGGGATTATATCAATAAAAGAATATGTGACGTAAAAACTAATGAAAAGCAACCTTACACAACACTTACGCGTTAAAAAATCACGCAAGCATACAAATTTCCTAACTATACATTTTGTATTCATACACTGTCAAGTATATTTTGTACATTCGCGAAGCTGCTTGGACAATCCCTGCTAACATAAAGAAGAACTCGTTCATTCAACATTGTAAGGATGGTTTAAATCAAATTCATGTATAACTTTAATGTTGTGTTTTTTGAGACTTTAGAGACACATTTTAAAATATCCATCTTTGCAAATGCAGAATTTAACTAATGAGATTTTTTTTTTGTTCTTTACAAACATTCTTATACTGGTTACAATTTTAAGTGTCCTTTCGGCGGAGGGCATTTCCATGAAAAATGTAAAATGGGGAGGGGATAGACAAGCTCAAAGTTTTTTTTTATACCCCCAGCACCCATAATAACACTGTTATATTTCAAGACAGTAAAAGACAAATTTTTGAAATGTCAATTTTAGAAAACTGAAAAATATGTATATTTAGAGAAAAAAAAGTTTGCTCGTCACAAATAAATAGTCATAATTTTCATTTTTTCTACAAGGAGATGAATTTGTATAAGTGACTTGTCACTAGTTTACAATCCATGCATTGTTTTGCTATACATAATTATTTAATTGTTTTCAAAATAAAATATTGTTTATACTAATTTTTTACTTTTTTCATATTTTAAAATTGTTTTGATCGCTTTTTTACTGAATAATTACAACTATCGGTGACTTGAAGGAACACCATATGGGTGTTTTTGTTTATCGGTATATTAGTCTTTGATCGTTGATTAATTGATTAAGGTGTTAAAGGTTAAATGTATACTATATCTACCTTATAACAACACTGACCACGATTGCCAGATTTTGTGACAGATTGCTCCATCTCAAACTCAAACGATTAGTAAGAAACAACAAATGTAAAGAGATACAAAATTACAAAACTTTGTTTGAAAATTTTAAGGATGAAACTAAATTCTATTTTTGACCATTAAAGAAAGGATTGTCCCCTTAAGGTCATGGCATCGCTTTCATTAGACCCTCATCGAGGCTAATTACTCTGTAGTTACCTAATTGATAGTTGTGAAAGCTCATTACGTCCACTTCCCGGGGCACGAGAGTGACCAGAGATATCTATGCAACTTTCTACACTGCCATCTGGTCACTTATTTTGTAAACGTTTTTATGTTTGCTGTCTTGTTTAAAGTTCACTTTTGAGATTTTCTTCATTATCATTTTTTTTTTAAATATTGTAACCAAGGATTTATAGATATATATAGCAAGACGTATAAATCCTTGTGAACACTAAATCGTGGGATATACATTATAACAACAACACACCAAAACCTTAAAGATATAAAATTGTAATTTTATTTGGGCAAAACCTATACAGTTTACTAGTATGACGCCGACTAAATGAGACAGAGACAAAAAAAAAGGGGGGGGATAGGAAAGACCTTTTTGTTTATATGTAAGTATATTATTAAAATTAAAGTGAGGTCATTTATTGTTTTTTTTCTGTTACGTATTTTGGAAATTCGTAGCTCTCCCCTCCCCCTAAAACCATCTCTGTCAACGAATTTAAAGAAAATATAAGCTTTTTACGTATTGCTGACTTTATATTTGTCCACTTCACTGAGAGGTTTAAATCTATCAAAGCAACGGAATTAAGAGTATAAAAAGTAATGCATAAGCAATACCAGAGACTTATAAAACCATGTCTTTGGCGATACCAACAGAGACATTAATTATTACTGAGTATGTCTCTGATGCTAAGAAGTAAAAACATGGTGATGTAGATTTGATATAATCCTAGTCAAGCATCAGACTTATCTGTAAACAATATTATTTAGAACCCGTTAACTTTTATTTTTATTGAAATTGCGGTTGTTTCTCTATCGATATGCAGTAGTTCTGTGGTTAAACGCGGCACGATTGATCATTTTGACCAATCAGCGAACGTCTTGGCACGCGACTACATAAGGTAGAAATAACTTAAGATAATACCAATCAAAAACACTTTTGATTGGTTAAGAAAATTCCGAAAACTTCTTTAGGCTTTGATATAAATGTAAACGAAAAGTAAATCTCATTATAGAGTTTTAATTTTTCTTAGAATCGGGCATATCTTTCTCCTTTTATTCTGATAAAAAATGGCTGATGAAAATAGGATTTCAGTTAGTGAAGAAAGAGTTGAAAAAAGAAAAGTGGATGATTTTGCAGCTTTGTACAATCTCGATAGCAGCACTAGAAACTTAACGGAAACAACCGGTAGGTCTCTAATTCACAAAATTCAATTTATTACGACGAATAATTCATTTTATTAATTAATCTCATTTCCAATTACCCAATAATTGAAGAATTGGAATAAAATTTATTAATTTATCAAGGTAGGGGAATGCGAAGGGATCGGAAATGTTATTACATACGGACAATAATTCTATTTTGTTTACAATGGTCGTAAATAACTAAATATATTATTCCTATTTATGTTCGACACGTTTGGAATATGAAATAATGTTACCAACGCTTCATACAATTGTACTAATTTACAGCCGATAATGTTTCGATCAAACTCCAGGTAATTTACACAAGCGTAATTTTGTTTTCTGGTAACGAAATTTTGTACTCCGGGAAAATTTCATTTGTTATGTCTGCGGCAATAAAGTTAATATATATGATTAAAGGATGCTTCTATTAAATTACTCCAGTCTTAAACCTAATATAAAGGAAGAACATTCTATTTTATGCAACATAGAGGCAATCATATAGAAGTGATATTAAACAATACAGGAGCACTGTACATATATATATGGTAAGAATTATTAGTAAAAAAAAGTTCTTTATCTCTTCAATAATATTTGTTTTCAGTTTACATCCGTAAGAATAAATAATTTATCTTGATGTTCGTCGAAGTTAACTAATTAGCAAAATTAAAATTGTGTAAACTTTGAATTATTAATTTTTAAAGTTTACTTGCTTCTTCATGTTAAGAATTTTCGGCATCGTATTTCAGGATAAATAGAACTTAAATGCAAATCTTAAGAAAAATTGAAAACAACACGTTATAAATTTTATGCGTCCGAAGCGCTTTTATGGATTTACCTTCATCAGGAACGATCAAAGCCGAATATTTGAAAGTCAAGGATGTATAAGAACCGAAAAGTTGAAGAGCTATATTACCAAAAAGGACCGAAAAAAAATAGCCAAATCCATCTAAGGTCAACTTTATCTGAGGGAGTTGAAACCTTAATTTCTAATAATTTCAAACTTAAGAAACTATTTTTCAAGTATTTTGGGGGATTAAACGAGAAAGACATTTATTCTGCGCCTAAAACTACTAAGTTGAATTATCCGGAATTTAATAAACTCGTTTTACCTTTTTGTCAGCAATGTTTTTCTTGGAATTGTTCTTAATCTTTAATTGTAAAAAAAAAATAATGGTAAATAAAAAAACAAAAACAAAAAATATCTATATGAACGCTTTCAGCATCATATAATGGAAACAGATATTGCCTTCTTTCGGCTAAAATAAAAACAAAAAACAAAAAACAAAAAACGTATGTATAATTCGACCCCACATTGTTTTTAAGTCTTGAATCAAAATAGCATCTTACAGCTTTTCACATGCCAAATAAAGAAAAAGCATATAAATAAATTAAAAAAAAAGATATGTATTTTTTAAAAGTCTAATTTTCTTTATGTCACAATTTTAAATGAAATTTTATAGGAAATTCTTATACATATCATGTATTTTCAAACTATACGCTGGTACCCTTTCGTGACTCTTAGCGATTAAGAAGGTGATAATTCGGATTGAAATTTTTGTTCGCGTGTTGATTCTAAAATGTGTGTAAATATAGAAGATAAGAAAATAGCAATCTTTTAACAAGCTTTCTGAAATGTCAAAGGTGGCAAAACTAGGTGTCTAACAGAAATTCCGAATTGTTGTTATACCTGGCGTTAAAATGAAATTGTCCGGTGATGTGGCCAGAGTTGACCATCTGTTGACACCTTCTTGTTAACATGTGATTTTGTAAATAATTAATAAAATATAAATTACGTAAAAACATCATTGTTTGACTTCCGATATTGACCACCGATATGTCTTTTCTGTAATTTTTCACCTTAACGGGGGAGGTTTTGTCAAAGAAATAAGTTTCATTAAAAAATATGGAATACTATACATTGGATTCAGATTTCTACGGTAAAAACAAGTTTTTAGGATTGTTTTATATTTCAGACTAAAACAATCAAAACAAATAATGTACAATATTAGTTTATATAATATATAATTCATTATTACATATTTATATACTATATATATATTTCATTATTACATGTAAATATAATATTGTAATTACAGTACAAGAGGGAGCTTTTAAAAAGATAAAACCAGAGCCTGGAAATGGCGGGTCAAGTTCACTTTTAAGCGGAGGATCTGGAAGTGGTAGTCACAACCCTAGTTCATGCCCGACCCCCGCACGGAGGAGACATCGGACAACATTTACACAAGAACAACTACAAGAATTAGAATCCGCTTTTGCCAAAAGTCACTACCCAGATATATACTGTCGGGAAGAACTAGCTAGGATTACCAAATTAAATGAAGCCAGGATACAGGTAAGTTTCATTTGTTTATTTTTTTTTTTTTTTTTTTCTTTGTTATTATTTGTTTGTTTGGTTTAATCAGTGACATATAATACAATTGTATTATATGTCTCTGGTTTTATTTGTTTGGTTTTTATTTGTTATTTGTTTTAATGGTTTACGTGTTTATTTGTTTATAATATGTTTATTTTTTGCATTTCTTTTCTGTCATTCTCAAGTTAAATTGAAATATTTACGGTGAAAATTAAAATGAATGTTCCTGAAAACAAATTGTTTGAATTTTACAACCTCAGTAAATTTTTGCCGTCAACGGGTGTATTTTCAATGACTTCCGTGAAGAAAAACGCAAATTTAAATCTCTGTTTATATATTTTTTAGTTAAAGAAAAAAAATCATTTTCATTTGAAAACAGTGTATGCAAATAAATTCGTACATGCTGATTTTGTATTTTGAATATAAGAAAATAATATGTCGCTTTTTATTTAATTATTCAAAGCCGGAATTTATTTAATTCAAGTATGATTCACTAATGAAATAATTTCATGAAAAATATAATAATAAATGTTCAAAGTTGAAACACTTGAAATGAAAATTAAGCATGAGAAAGGCTTTAATTTAGTCTTAGATACATGATTTTTTTATTAGTTTTTATTGGCTTTGAACTAGCTGGCAGTAACTGCGAGTACTCTCAGATCTTAACTTAGTGTCTTTCTGTTGTGTGGATGTATAAGTACCCGTCCACGTCCTCTCTTTGTTTTTGTTAGATGTATTTCGATTTGTATCCATCTGATGAGTTAAGCCTTTTTCAACTGCTTTTTATAGTTTGTTCTTTTGTTGTACTGTTACACCACTGTCCCAGGTTAGGGGGAGGGTTGAGCGCTCACAACCATGTTTAACCCCGCCACATTTTTATGTGCCTATCCCAAGTCAGAAGCCTGTAGTTCAGTGGTTGTCGATAGTTCATGTCTGTCATATTTGTTTTTCGTAAATTGTTTTGATATAAATTAGGCCGTTAGTTTTCTCAATTGAATTGTTTCATATTTTTCATGTCTGGGCCTTTTATAGCCGACCATACGGTATGGGTTTATCTCATTGTTGAAGTCCGTATGGTTGCCTTTAATTGCTTACATCCACTTCATTTGAACTTTGGTGAATAGTTGTCTCATTGGCAATCATACCACATCTCCTTATTTTTATATTTAAGGACTATCTTTTAACTTTTCTAACGGTGGGTTTAAAAAAAAATAATACCAAATTATAATGTGTGAAACTGTAGGTACAGACAAATAAAACAAATATTCATTACTCCCTGAACATTTATATTCGTCGAAAAATAACCGTATATTTCGATGAAAATACTTTCATCAGAAAATATATTCGAAATAAATAAAAGATAGTTAATACCGCCTGCTGATTTTTAAAAAGATGGAACAGACGAAAATAACAAAAAAGAAAATTACCCTCAATGCAAATTAACAATTCAAAATAAGTAAAAGATAGTAGATGCACATGCTGATTTTAAAAAGAAAGTAAGAGATATGAAAAAAAACAAATATGCCTTACATGCAAATTATAAATTCGAAATAAGAAAAAGAAAGTGGACGCACATACTGATTTTAAAAAGAAGGAAGAAAAGAAAAAAACCCAAATATGACCTAGATGCAAATTAAGAATTCGAAATAAGTAAAAGATAGTAGATGCACGCGATGATTTTAAAAGGAAAGGAAGAGAAATTAAAAAAAAAACCAAATATGCCTTACATGCAAATTAAGAATTCGAAATTAGTAAAAGGTAAGTCATGCAAACTCTTGATTTTAAAGAGAAAGGAACAGAAGTAAAGAAAGAAAAAAAAAAACGAAATATACCCCGATACAAATTAACAATTCGAAATAAGTAAAACATAGTTGATGCACGCGATGATTTTAAAAAGAAAGGAAGAGAAAAGGAAAATATGCCCCGGATGCAAATTATCAATTCAATTTAGAGATTTAAGGAACAGATGGAATATTAGCGATAGCAATGTAGCCGCGGGGGGCACCAACTAAATACACTAAACTGAACTATTGGAATCATTATATTCACTTGAACAAGTCCGTTAGAATTCCTCAAAAGAAAACAGAAAATGCTTGTAGTTTTAGACATGAAATGTCCATATGTCTCCTTGTTTACCCTGTCCATGAAAGCTTCGTACAAACTGTCGCTGTACTCTTAAGCAGAACGAAGAGACAGTTAATTGAGATAGAAAGAACATTTTGAAATCTATTTTTTTTATCTTTAGTTAATTAATTTATCCTTTTTTTTAAATTTTCATTTAATTAAGAAAGTACATATTAAAATTTATTTACTCATCTATAGTTGATTTATTTATTTTCTTTTTTTTTAATTTTCATTTGACTATCAATATGATATTTTTCTTATTCTTTATTCGTAAATTAATGTCATACAAAGTATAAACTTACACACATATATAATTATATGTATATATATAAGTAGCGTATCCATTGCTGTGCAAACCAAGACGTGTTGGGACACTGTAGAGAAAGGAAGCTTCTTCAATATTGTTAGGTCTTCTCACCTTACCGGGACAAATGGACCATTAGGTTGTTTTTTTCACTATTTCACTTTTACAACTACATTGCATAAATGACGTGGAGGTAATGCTACCAAAACTCAACTGGTCAAGATATACTATAAGAAGCGCACGCAGTAGATGTTTTTTTTACGTAAAATAGTTTAATATTGGCACCCCTTGATTTCTTTAAAAACATATTAAAAATGTGTAAATAATATACATTGTAATAAAAAGGGTAAATCACCAACTTGTTTTTCAAATTGTAGGCTGTGCAAAATTCTCACATTTTGTATGATTCAGTATCCCTGTAATAGTCACTATAGAAAGAAAACATTATGATAACATTTCGAAATAAGATTTGAAAAGATGGGCTACAGATATACTGTAAATTCCTGTATACAGCTAAATTATCTGAGTTGTCTCCCATTTTCAAAAATGTAAAGAATTTAGAAATAAGACAAAAACTGTAATTGTAAAAAAAAACCCGTTATTAACACCATGAGAAATGCATATATACAAACATCTAAAATGTAAAGTTCAACAAATAAATTGCATTTTGCATCCAAATTTGCCGATCATGCGCTGTCGTTTGTCATCCAAGTTGTCGGAACAGTCCCATCATGACTACCTGAAATTTTTATTCTGAACCGATATTAATTGTACGTTTTAAGATAAAAACAGTCAAATATAAGTTAAGAGAACCACTGTCCCAAGTCAGTGTCCTCGTCGGTGGTTCTCGTTAGTTATATTTGAAAGATGTAGCTTTAAATATTTACAGTAGGTGTTCAATTCATAGAAATGCTGATCTGTTTTTTTTTTCGTTGCTGAAAGTCGAATCATATGATTCCGTCATATGCTTTCATTTCGTATGAAAGAAACACATGCCGTTTGAAAGCAATCCATGCCGTTTAACTGTGATTTTAGAAATCGATTTCGTCTACATGACGTATTATAATTGATGCACGCGGAATGATACTGCCTTGATCTCAAAAGACAGTTTCTGCCGGAATTTTGTGTTTAAAGTTTTACTTTCAGATTCAGATGTGAATAACATATAATTTTTCTATTTCGAAAATCTGTAGATATAAAAACTGAATGCTATGTTTTTGCAAATTTATACTAAATGGAAGAAAGTGACCATCACTTCTTTTAGCTAGAAGCGCTTCATGCAAAATGTGATGGTAACTTGCTTTCATTTCGTATACATTTTAAAAAAACACAATTCAATTCAATATTGGTGTTGGTGCAACATCTTTGAATGTTTCTTCTGAATTTATTCACAGCTTTTGTATACAGTGTATTCAGATTCGGGATAATTTAAAGCTTGTCATATTTTATACAAACACTTTCATTTTGAAGGCCGTATTTCGGTCGCTGGATTTATTTTTTTATGGCATTGGGTTGCTGTCTTATTGACCCATACCTTATATCTTTTTATTCGCATCGGAAGATAAAAACCTACAAGGGATAACCCGGATTCAATAATTCAGGGTTAGAATTTGATTTAGTTCATGATCGATAACACTTACTTTTTTGAGGTTTTTAAAGATTACTTTGTATATCGTCCACCCCTTGTATGTTCGTCTATTCTGTCCATCACCAACAGTCACTGCCACATCTTCCTACTGACCCCTATACTCTTCAAATTAGACAAAGAAATCAGTAGCCTTTGTTCCTCATACACAAAAAAACCTGCATCTAATATATTTTATAGCAAGGAGGCTATCACTCTAGTAGAAATCAAAGATGGCCATCTTACTAAGAATTTGCGTAATCATGTTCTCCAAATTTAAGTAGTTGTACTTTGTTCTGTTGTTATGTCAAGGTTCATCGAAGTCATATAGCTCCTTAAGAATTTATAAATCCATGGCTTACAAGATTTTGGTTTTGGCGTTTCTGATGAAGGTACACACACAATGTTATTTCATTTTTTTTTAAATTAAGAATTAATATTATTTGCAGAACGAAATCAATCTTTGAAATCACAGGTTAATAAATTATTGCAAATGAAATTTTATTTGGATAATCGGGATAGGTTAATGCATAAGTAACGTTTTAATAGGACAATAATTGAAAAATAGACTATAATAAGGTATAAACAATATAACACGAACTTGGTTTTTTTTGCTTTCATTATGTGTGCAAATGTTTTGCTATTGTTTTTAAGATGGGTCTGTTGTATAAAATAACTTATTTCGCCTTTCCATTTATTACAAAATGTTTTTCTTGATATCAATTTTGGACGGTAAACTTTTGATTCGTATATGCATGACAATTCATATGTTTTCTTTCTACATTGTTTCTGTAACTTGAGCCCCTCTTCCCCATGTGGACCCACGTCGACCAACCCGTCCATGCAACCATAATCGTCGTTAATAGATTTAAGTACCTTTTCATTTTATGCAAATTCCTCGCTGTATTTAAATTTCCCTGCTTTGGACAGTTCTAATAAAAATTCCACTGATATACTCTTTGTTTGACCGTTTACATGCCAAATTTCGTTGTGGAGTGGTACCATTAAGAAGAAGGAACAGAAAAGAAAAAGAGGGGGTCCATGTCCGAAACGTCATAAAACACCGCAAAAATTTCTAAATTTACAGTTTTCGATTTGGTATATTATAACGTAGAGATTGAAATCATTCAAAATTATTTTGCAGACACATTTTATTTTATAGAATAAAAAAGAATTTCTTGATATATTTTATTTATAAGAATGAATATGTCCCCTTATAGGCCATGTTCCCAGTTTATTGAATCAACACGGAAAATCCTATTTACCACAGCTTAATATTTCTGGAACAATTTTCAAAGACTCGACCCTAATTACCTATCAGAACTAATTCTATAATGCTCAAATGACTACCATTCTAATACTGCAATGTTTCGGTGTGTTTTCTTAGGCTTACAAAGTAACGAAGTTGCCATTTTCCTCCATGAAAAACATTAAAACTTAGCACTGCTTTAGGGAGAATCACAATTGAATTTAGTAAATGAGTGAAGAACGATCAATGGTGTTCTAACATCGCTGTTGATGAATTTTTGCCTGTCGCTAATGCGTCGAATGTAAAGATGCTAGAGACTGCTCCATTAAAAGATATGTCAATCCTGATTACTAGAGCCATTCTCACGAGACAGAATAACTTCGCTTAAAAACCTCATGACTATTCTCTCTTATACCACGTCTCTTAATATAAAAATTCATAAGATGTATAGTCTCGGGACAGACGAGTATAGCGAGCTTCTTCTCAGGGTAGTGACCATTGTGTCCAAATATTCACAATTTATATTCATCAAATAGGTTTGCGTCTTTGGTTTGTCAAAAATTGTAGATTTCTGTCTTGTTATGTTAATAAGATTCAAAAGGGATGAAAAAAAAACTATGTTTCCATTCCCTGGATATTCTCGCCTTTTGTCCTTTGAACTGTCAAGTTGTTTGGGTTACATTTATAGCATATCATTAATTCATATGTAGCAAAAATACTGTTTATCCCGAAAATGTGGGCACATTTATTCAAATTCTTTTAAGAGAGAATTAAGCAGGAATGAATCCAGTATTTTTTTTTATCTTGCTGTCGATTCAATTTTTTTTAAGCGCGGCTCAAGCTCAAATCAGAACTTTACTAAATGTTGTCTAAATGTTTCATACAAACAAAATAAAAAAATGCAAATTTAATTCAGTTAAAGAAAGACTATGTTTTCATTCCCTGAATATTCTCGCTTTTTGTCCCTTGAACCGCGTCAAGTTGTTTGTGCTACTACATTTATAGCATAGCATTGTTTTCTTTTTTGTAACAAGCAAAAATACTGTTTTTTCCAGAAAACGTGGGCAAATTTATTTAAATTCTTTTGGGAGATAATTTAGCAGAGTTAATTCAGGGTTTCACCTAAGTTTCGAATTCCTTATATTTGGCGCAACTATATATAACAAAAAAAATGATACAATCTGCAAGAAAGTTTTAAATAAACTTTATTTTCGTCTGCTTTTTGCTGTATGATGTCGTCTTGATCTAAATATAACCTGTTGCTATAGCAAACGTTTCCTTATTTTATAGTGATATATCTGAGTTTTTATATCGTGTAAACATTTTTCTTCTTACTTTTTTCTGAATGCGACTCAAGTATAAATCAGTGTTGTCTAGTTTTCATACAAACAAAATTTAAAAAACATAATTAAATTATCTGAACGGATTTTATGAATGAGCCAAAATTATTCAAAAACTTTCGACTGAATTTTAAATTGACAGTGGAGAAGACAGTATAGACATTTTCAATTGGTATCGGAAACTACTGGATTGTCAACACGATACTGAACACAAAGAACTCTAATTGCTGTCCTCAAATTCGCATTCTTTATTCAAGACGCATTTTAAACCTTATTAGATTATAAGCCGTGGACTGTGCTGATGAACATAAAATGGCATCTCTATTGGTAAATTTTCTTCGATCATGCGAGCACTATTATGTCACTGAAAAGACTTTGTTTGTGCTCATGCGATCACTGAATCGGACTCATCTTGCATGTAGAATAGAGAACCAAATTCTTTCAATTTTACCAATGTTTAATGCATTGATCGGTGACGAGTTGTTCGTGCTAGCTGCCGATACTAATTGTAATCAATTCCGCTTCTTCGATTAAAATGCTACTTGGATTTTGTACAGAGTAATTGACAAGGAACGTTCTTGCTTCATTAGATGTTGTAAGAGTGTTTGCCCACTCGACTCATCAGGACCTATTTAATTTCAATTACATATTCACAATCAAGACTACCCAGCCCATACTTGAACGCACCGAATGAGGACTTCCACTTTATTATTTTACAAATATTTTGTCGAAAAAGAAATTATTTCATTCGGTATGTGAACATTAAAAGCATCCATTTGTTACAGTTAGGTTATTAAATAAAAGTAAGCATTAATATAAATGGGTGTTAAAATACATAAAACGAACTAAGATGACAACAATTTCATGATAATTTGAAAAACATAATTACAAGAAAATGCTAACATAAAATTGTTACATAAATAAAAAATAGTTTTCCTAAATGGAAATAGGCTGCGATTTTTTCGTATTTGTGTGGGCTATTTCTTTCTTTTTTGAACAAATTGTATCGGTTTGTTACATTTTGTGAGCCCTGTAACATTTTGAAAAAGATCATAACTTGGATGGAAGTTTAATAAAAAAAATGTCCCCATTCCTTGCTGGATTGGTAATAAATGTTCAGTTCACGTCTTTACTCGACGACTTTGTCCTTAATCTTTTATAAGAAACATCCATGGTTATTTTTGAATACCACTGGATATCAAGCAAACACCAATCAATCAATCTATTTTGTTTCGATTCTTCTGCAGGTTTGGTTTCAAAATAGAAGAGCAAAATACAGGAAACATGAAAAACAACTCGCCAAGTCTCTGTCCCCAGTAATGAACCCTGCCTGCAACGGAATGATGAGAAACTTGTATCCTACCACATCTCGACCATATGCTGCGTACTCACCGCATACCAACATGAATTCTATGGCAAGATATCCACAGATGAACTCATCATATCCATCAATGGCTCAGTTTTCAGGGATGTCCAGTATGGCCACTTCTAACATGGCCAGTATGCCAAGACAAGTTCAACAATTCCCAATGTCTTCAGACTACAGTTTGGTAAGTTTATTCTCATATATTCAAGATAACTCTTTTAGTCACAGTCATAGTTTTCATTGAATTTTTTCTGCTAAATTTTTTAAGTAAATGATGATATTCAAATGTTTAGACTTAATTCAATAAACTTACTTACATTGAGGACATGAAGGGGATTTTTAGTCATGCATAGTAATATTTAAAGAAATTGATCAATATATGCAAATATATGCATATAATTTTAAAAGATAATATCCGTGGTGGAGAATGAACCATGCTTTTTTATATATATAACTAGGATATGTCTAGCTGTGAGACCAGTCTCATGTTTTCTTGTTTATTATTTTACAGGACAACCACGAAGATGATTGGTATAACAAAAGTTTGACAGCACTGCGCATGAACAACAGTCACCACTTATCTAATCCTGTACTACAGTACCAAGCATGACTAGAATCAGAGTCAGGAAAAATGGACCATTAAGGGCAACCATTGCTTCATCATCATTAAAAGTGCTGACATTTTAACTATGGAATGTACATCATTATCGTCTAGTCTGAAAGATTTCTCTTGTAGATTCATCAATATTTGTTGGATATTAAAATCGATTTGGAAAATCCTGCAACAGAAACTAAATTTGGTGGTATCTATATAGCCTTGGATCATGTTCTGCTTTGCATTCAGCTGCCGAGATGTGAACCCTGGTCCAGAGCTAACACATATGAACCTGTTTTGTCATATTTTGACTTGCAAATGCAAGAACATTTATCATGTTTGCATTAAACTACATAGAAAACCAATAAATTCCAAATAGAACACGAACTAGACAGTGTTACCACTCTCTTTACATTGATTTTGATTAAATTATATGTTGCAGCATTTTCCAAATTGATTTTGATTTTTCGTGGATTTTTGTGTTGATGCAAACTAAAGATTTTAAGCTTAAAGAAGTGAAATTTCAGTTGCTTTTTGAAAGCAACTTCGGAAAAAAACGAAATTACTGACAAAATCACGCGGGAATTGATATTCACAGAATACGATACTTGAACATTTAGAGAGGAAGTTTCTACTTGTTATTTATAAATGAACACCATCTTGCCATATGACGCTGGTGAAACTGGCTCTGTGCCATAGTAACGGATTTTGTATATATAAATTATTGTAAATATTAATATTTATATTTCAGCTATTGGTAAAACCAAACTCAGTATTACTGTTGTGGTGCAGTCTGCACAACATAATAAACAAATGTGAAATGACTTTATTTTTTCTGTCACTTGGCCAACTATTGAATAGAATTATAAAAAAAAATCTTAAGTTTCACTGTTAATGAACCATGAGATAAACAATTATGTTCACCTAAAAGACAAAAAACATCAAGATATGACTACACCTATCACATTTAATGTGCCTGTCTAAAGATTGGTTACCGCCAGTCTTAATTGTGCTTTTAATTAAAGATATCAACTTCAATCAAGATGATACATTTCCCTTTTGAATTTTTAAATGTATTACTGGGGCCTTTTACCTTACTATGCAGTACGGGGTTTGCTCATAGTTGAAGCTCATAAGGTTACCTGTGATTGTTTGCATCATTTCATCCTTTTGTCCATGTTGGACAGTTTTTTCATTGGAAACATAGTATTCCCTTTAATAGGCAAAACATTTAAACTACAATCAAACAAAAAGATTTCTATGAAACAAACATTTGTCATGGCCAAGAACAGCAATTAAAGTGTTTTTTCCTAATACATCGATAAGTTTGCAGTATTTTGTGAGACTGTTGACGCATGTGCATTCGCTCAACTTTTTATCCTTTTCCAACCTTGATGCTTTTGTTTAGAGTTTCTAGTATAATAAATCCAAATCTTCATTGTGCTTTTTGCCGACCAAAAAGAAAGTTGTTTCCAATTTATATGGTTGGAGAAAAATATGGTGATTGAAAAAATGTTGAAGTCGTGTTTGAAACAATGTCTTTTTTTTGTAACTCACCGGGCCCTTCGGGCCCCATGTGAGCTTATGCCATCACTTGGTGTCCGTCGTCGTCGTCGACGTAAACTTATGTGCCAAATACCTTCAAACTTTAACATAACTGAATGTACCTTAGGGTATCTAGTTTATAAATTGTATCCGAAGGTTTGATCCATCAACAAACACGGCCGCCATGACTAAAAATAGAACACAGGGGTCAAATGCAGTTTTTGGCTTATATCTCAAAAACTAAAGCATTTAGAGCAAATCTGACATGGGGTGATAATGTTCAATAGGTCAACATCTATCAGCCATGAAATTTTCAGACGAACCAAACAACCCATTGTTGGGTTGCTACCACTAAATTGGTAATTTTAAGGAAATTTTGCAGTTTTTGGTTATTATCTTGAATCTTATTAAAGATAGAGATAAACTGTAAACAGCAATAATGTTCAGCAAAGTAAGATCTACAAAAAAGTTTAATATGACCAAAATTGTCAATTGACCCCTTAAGGAGTGATGGCCCTTTAAAGACAATTTCACACAATTTGTTCATCATGTTTGCTTACATTTAAAAATCTTCTTCTCTGAAACTACTGGGCCTAATACTTCTTAACTTTATCTGAATGTTCCTTAAGGTATCTAGTTTATAAATTGTATCTGAAGTTTTGATCCATCAACAAATATGGCTGCCATGGCTAAAAATAGAACATAGGGGTCAAATGCAGTTTTTGGCTTATATCTCAAAAACTAAAGCATTTAGAGCAAATCTGACAGGGGTGAAAATGTTCAATAGGTCAAGATCTGTCAGCCCTGAAATTTTCAGCCGAACCGAATAACCCATTGTTAGGTTGCTGCCACTAAATTGGTAATTTTAAGGAAATTTAGAAGTTTTTGGTGATTATCTTGAATATAATTGAAGATAAAGATAAACTGTTAACAGCAAAAATGTTCAGCGAAGTAAGATCTACAAAAATGTTTTATATGACCAACATTGTCAATTGACCTCTTAAGGAGTTATTGCCCTTTAAAGACAATTTTTCACACTTTGTTCGTCTAGTTTGCTTGCCTTACTTTAAAAAATCTTCTGCTTTGAAACTTTTTTTGAGCCAAACTAGGGCTGAATGAGTTTCAGAGTATTTGGTATAAATTTTGTATTTTATTTCCTTGCACGTCAAGAAACATAGCCACTATGGCTATAATGGAACATAGGGGTAAAATGCATTTTTTTGCTTTTATAGAAAAATATGACAGATACAAAGAACATTTAAATGGCATTTTTAAGCCACTCATTAATAAATATTGAAAAGCAAAAATAATCATTGATGAAAGATTTTCAACAAAAAGTTACAGGTGAGCGATTCAGGCTCTTGATAGCCTCTTGTAATATTGTTGTCATCAGAAATGTAGATAAATTACCAATGCAAGCTATATCAAATACCACTGTGGTGTGGAAATTGGGAACCCAGCAATGGTTGGTAGGTGTATGTAAAGGAAATACAGTGATCGATTAATGTTCTTTGCATGGCGATAAAATGGTTGATTTGTGGTTTTTTTTTGTCAAGTTGATAAAATGGCCAACTAGTGTTCTTTACAAGTCGATAAAATGGCAGATTGGTATTTTTTGCAAGTTAAAAAATGGCTAATTTGTGTTCTTTCCAAATCTATAAAATGGTTAATTTGTCTTCTTTCCTAATCATTGAAATGGCTAATTTGCATTTTTGCCAATTTGATAAAATGGCTAGTTTGTGTTCTTTGCAATTCGACAAAATGGATTCTTTGTGTTCTTTGCAATTCGATAAAATGGCTAACTTGTGTTCTTTCCAATTGGATAAAATGGCTTATTTTTGTTCTTTGCAATTGATAAAATGGCTCATATGATTTTTTTCCAATTTGATAAAATGGCTAGCTTGTGTTCTTTCCAATTTGATGAAATGGCTAGTTTGTGTTCTTTCCAATTTGATAAAAAGGTTGATTGGTATTTATAGTAGGAGTGCATATACATCGTTTTATTGTGACAACAAAAACTCCAATGCACTATTTTAGTCGTGTCCTGCATATTTTTTTTTGTATTTTGTGAAAGTTCTATTACTCCAGGGATCTCGGAATTGAAGGAAGATGATTGATAGCCACTGTTAAATTCATTTAGATCTTTTATAAGGATTTTAACAAATAAAGAAATGCACCACCTCCATTAATTTCTTTCAAAGGATTTATATAGTAAGTTTATTTAAGTCATTGTTTCTTTGAAGTTAAAATCACTTTTTCATATAACTTTTTTGAAAATGATTGAAACTAGTCAAAATTTGACGCAATGTTTCTGCAGTAATAAACATTAAATTCTGTGGAAATGAGAATTTTCTTAATTTTAAATTTGATATCTCAAAAAAAACACATTTTTTAACCAAAAATTAAACGTTGCTAAATTTGTAAATTTGTGTGTATCTTCTAACATGTAAACAACAAAATCACTTTAATTTTCAGTTTCTCAAACGACATCTTGTCTATTGACCAATTTGAAATTGACTTATAGTCAGACTTTTGATTTTTGACTTCTGTGGTTGAAACCTATGTTGCCACTAAAATGATTTTTTTTCCTGAAAACTCAGCATTAATTTCAAGATTTTGATTCAAACATACTAGATTTCTACAAATTTGTAGCACAAAAAAGAAATTGTGAAACAACTATATATGTTAAGATGTGGTGGTTATATCTGTTTTAGATTTAGATTCAGATATTGTCTAGACATTTATCTGTTGTTGAATACAGTATATTGACTTCAAGATGTGTTGTTTTTGTCTTGATTGGTAGCTGTCTCAATGATGTTTGTTTGGCCAACACATGGTGTAGAATAAGATTCAGGTGAATTAACATTTTGTCATGTGGTTTGGCCACCACATGGTGTAGAATTTATCATACCATGATCACTTGATGGCTTGAACATACTTATAATGATCCATTGATTGTTGGTGTTTTATGAAACTTTCAGCACTATTAACTATTTCCTGGAGGTCAGTGTTATTGGTGGAGGAAGCCAAAGTGCCAGAGAGAACCACAATCCTCACAAGGAAAACTGACAATTCTAGTCAATTAAGATCAGGTCAAGCAAACCTGTCACATGCGGGGTTCAAACTCACAACCTCAAAGTTGACAGGCTAGTGATACAGTAAATGAACTACTTAAGTCACTCGGCCACCAAACTTTTAATAATTTTATGTTATAAACAAGAATAAAACAAGTTTACAAATATATCTCTCCATTTATTAAATACTCTTACATTATCAGACTTCCACCACATATATATCAATTGCACAATGATTTAGTATAATGAGCATAAAATGACAATAGCTAATAATTATGTCGAACAATCAAATAAATAAGGCCATGTCTGGGAAAAGTAGCGAATATGCTTAATCAATTAGTTCACATGATTCGTCTCTCATCAAGACCTCATTTCCAAGGTATTACTTATACATGTTATATCTTAATATTCATACTAACAAATTGAAAATTGCATTTTCATAATCATTAAAGAATTAACCATAAAGTATTTATCTATTGGTATAGTTGTTATTAAATCAGGTTAAAATTAAACACATTAAAGAATATGTAATGTAAAGTATGTTCAAAACTTTTCCCATTATAGCTAAATAAAAAAAAAATATAAAGGGTTCTGCAGAACCCTGTTTCTTGCCTGAGATTGCTGCTGTCAGTGTTAAAGTGTAATGTTGACTGCCAAAACGTCTTTTTTCAGTCTATTCCTCAGTAAAATACATCGGATAAAAATCTTTTTCTTCAGATGCTATTTATTGATCATAAAAAAGCTGCTGTCCAAAATTTTGTAACATTCACTGAAGGTTTGACAGAGTTCTGATGTTAAAAATCTTTAATCCTAGACTGCATATAGATGTGAACTGCAAAAAGTCCATTTTTTAGTTAATTTGGAAAAAAAATAAAAAAATAAAAATTCTGCTTCAGGAACTGTCTTTTGATTGTCCAATTTTTGTGAGATTCCATGAGGGTTTGACAAATTTATAGAAGTCACAAAAAAGTTAACCACAGATTGAAACTAACTGTTGGGGATGCTGTCAACGGAATGTAGGATCACTTTGTTTCTCACCGACAACTTTTGCCAAAAGGGACACAAAAATGGAATGTTTCTATAAAGATGAGCAAAAAATTAATAAATAATTGAATTCATTCATTACATTTATATAAAGATTGGAAAAGATACAAACAAGAACTGAACTTTTCATTCATACATTCAATTGCACTTTGACATATTTTCAACGCTTTGGTCAGCATATTCATTAGATATTTGATGGAAATCCTTATTAATGCTGATCCATCAATATAGGCATGGGAACTTGACAAATCTTAAAATAGGTTCATAATAAGATCCTTTTTTTTTTAAAGCAAAGATCACACATAATGTTAATTTTACCTATCACTGAATAATTTTGAATTTAAAGTTTCAGATTTTGTGCAAGATTTTTGAAAAACAATATTTTAGTGTAACTTTGAGCTTATGACTATACTATTTAAAAAAGCCTACTCAAGTAATAAAAAATTTATAAATTGTTATAAAAATAAGAAATCTACTGTTTTTAATCAACTGTTTATCTACGCACCATTATAAAATCTATTGCAAGACTATGTCCCTATATTTTAACACAAATACTGTAAAATTAGATGTTATTGTGAGGTTTTTATTAATGGGAATAATGTGACTAGGTGAGAATCTCGATAATAAGAACTCGCAATCTGATATCTGATCCATATATTTGTATGCAGCTTTTCCCAAAATCACAATTATTAATCTCGCATTTTTGTCCATTCTTCAAAAATTGCAATAATAAATGCACGCAATAATTTCGGAATTTACAGTACTATTGACTCACCTCTTTAATACATTAGAAACAGTTTGCATGTCACTGAAACAATTAACAAATTCAAGTGAAAAGCAATAGTAGATGTTTTCTATATCTTTTCTTGTTTCTTCTAATTTTGTTTATACATTTTATAATGTATGACTGTTTGTCGTATTATTTCCCTGATACAAAGAGAATTCTTTAGTCATCTTCAACATTATCTTACACATTAAAAAATATACACATTCCATATCATAAAATGATAGCTAGCAAAGATAGTCATCTTGGGATGAGTTAAACAAACGGACGCACAGACCGAAAAATATAATGCCCCTCTACTATCGTAGGTGGGGCATAAAAAAATATATATTTATCATCAAACATCCCTCTTTAAGGCAAGTGGGGCATAAAATGAGATTATATTAATTGATTGTTGCTTGCTTAATGTCCATTGGCTAATATTTCATGCACATTCAGTACTATAGAGATTAAAGCTTTCAAAGTAAAGAACAAAATTCAGCACAAAATAGCACTTCATTCATAAAAGAAGATATTTAAAAAAAGGTCTTTATAATTGTTTTAGTGGATTTCTTGAGATCACAAAAACAAAGATAAAACTACAATAAAATACGGTAATATATGACAATTGTTTCATCAGACAGACTTTTCAATTGTCCCAGTTTACAATCATAACATGAAATTTTGCAAACAAACTTAATTTAGCTGGGAATTTATTTATGTGACTCATTAGACAAATATAATGCAAATATAATTCATTGCAAATATGTCAACAAAGTCAGAAAATTTTGAAAAAAAATCATATCATGATCAGCTCTAAAAAGGCCTAAGCATGAATAAAAATACATGTACGGGTACATGAAAAAAGGTTGGTTAACAGTACATACATTATACAGTGTTCAGATCATTATAAAACAGTCAAAGAAAAAGCAAAATGTAAATAAAGATTTATCTAACAGGTCTATGTGTCAAATCAACATGTATTTTTCTATAAAAAAAAATTAATTAAATATTGGTTATAAAGCCAACATAAAGATTAAACTTTAAGTCCATAATTTAAAATATTATTTGTGAAGTTTATACAAAAAAATATTTGCTTTCCAACTCAAACAGACATAAAAAAACAACTTTTATTTTTTCAATTCAAAATTACCAACTGTCATAATATCTAGATTTTCTGTGACCTTTTAACAAGCTGTATAAAAACACAATAACTTCCTGAAATACTACAATACTACATCCCTACCACCCTGATAACAAATAAGAGAGAGGCCAGTGAAATAAAATGTTCTAATAAAGATAAGTATTTCTCATATGAAAGACCAGAAAATCAAAATAAAACATTTTAAATGGATTTATAGGTGACAGGTATTTGATAAAATTCATCCTTAAACACATTAAGAATTTCATTATAACAAACACACAAAAATTGTCCTTTTCACTGAAACCATTCTTTTACTTTGGGTATTTTAGATAAATAATTTTAGGGGTCTATGAATCTTCAAATCAGATGTGAAATCCCCATCAGGTCATAAAAATCTGGCCTAAGAAACATGAACTTGAATTATGTCGGCTTATTATCTCCTCCTTCTTTAGCTTTTCTCTGTGCTGTTACAAATTCAAAGTACTCTATATATCCATCGTCATTGAGATCGTCTTCTTTCATCACCATGTCTATTATGCTAGTCAATTCATCGTCAGCGTAAACTTTAGGTGGAGTTTTATGTTCATTTTTGTTTCCTTCTCCTTCACCATGTCCACCTTCTCCTTTTCCCTCGTCTTCTGTAAATATACATTTATATTCATATTTAAACTAGGTTTATATTATTTTCTTACCACTTCTAGGCCATTTCATTTTGATTTCCTTTTTCTTGTTAGGATTTTTTCATTTTCTAATGTTACTTTTTGACTTTTAATTTTCTAATGTTATTTTTTTACTTTAAATTTTTTAATGTTACTTTTTGACTTTTTCATTTTTTAAATGTTACTATTTAATTTTTTTTTACTTTTTGGTGTTACTTCTAAATTTTTTTAATTTCACCTTTTTACCAAAAATGAAACATATTCATCATGAAGAAGGGGTCATACACTGACATTGGCTTACATTTGTATAGCTATTTTAAATTTTAAAATATTTTCAGTTTTTTGTTTGATTAATGTAAAAAAATGTTTTGCTTTTTGCATTTTTATTTAATTAGTATTTGATAAAAAAAAAAAAAAATTACAAGATGGGATTCTCAAATTGTTTTCTGCAGGACCAAGGATTTGTATACTTATAGATTATCGATGGTTTTTCAAACGAGAGGGTGTTTCCCAGCTACAATCTCATCCAAGGGCGTAAGCCCTTTGATGAGATGTGCCCGAAAAACATCCTCGAGTTTGAAAGACCATTGATAATCTGTTTATCGCTATTTTGCCTATGACGTCATTAATTTTTACATTGACAATGGCACGTGCGCTCTTGGTTTCTGACGATAATTTTCCATCTCAAGCGAGTAGCATGATATGAAAATTATCACAAAAAAAGATCAAAGGAAAAATACACAAAATAGCGATAATATACTATACAAAACCTTGGCAGGACTAAGGAAAAATATTTTTATATAAAAATAGTATTGGCAATGTTGAATGAACAAATTATCAAATGCAGCCTTTCTTGGAATTTTACTTACATCAATCAATAAGATAATAGTTTAATCATCTGCAATTTATCTTGCATACAGATGTACCTCTCCTATACAATGCTTTTTATCTTATGAATATCAGCGTCTTAAAAGTCAGTTTCTATTAAAAAGTAAAACATGTAGATATCAAAATTGTCTATCAAACAATTTTCTAGTCTTATAACCCACTAGCATCAACAGAATATATTTAAGTTTAAGGAACAGCCTTTCAAGTGATGTCTTCTCAGAATTATCTAAAAATTTAACATTGACGAAAGAATGATACAACTTCCTGAACTAATCAATTTTATTAACGAGAAATTTATCGAGGAATGAAATACAAATTGATCAGAAACTGACATTATATCAAAAACTAAATTTCAGAATTATTTTTTTTCAGAATTCAAAGATTTCAGAAATACAAATACAGTGGAAATAAATTCAAAATAGATAAAAAAAAATCTGTCTGAAAAAGGGAGCAGTGTAACTAATGAAAAATAAAAGAGTGAATAGATAAATTATGGTACCATAAAAGGGTTTTAAAATATAATCCCTCAGATCTTAATCTAGATTATTGGTTTTACATTGTATGGAGAGAAGAATCCAACATCTATGATATTTTGCTATGTATATACAAAAACACTTCTTCTTAAAAAAAATATATTGATAGTCTTATGCAACATGAAGATGAAAGATGCAGAATTACTTGAATTTAATTTGAGTATTATTTTATTAATTTGTCTTTAGTTATTTTTGTTTTCTCCTACTGATAAAACACATGATAAATGCTAACCCTTTTGTTTTAGTTGAAATTATATAGCATGTTTCTGGACAAAAATATAAAGTGCCTTTAAATCATCAGAAAATAAAAATGTTTCATAACAAAGTTAAAACCAATAAACTAATAAACCTGTAACATTTCAATCAATGAAAATACTTCCAAAAATGACCAACAATATTTTTTTAAATGTGGTTTTATATGAAATGAACATGTATGTATTTATCCCAAATAACCCATGTCCAAACACTATACCTGTAGTAACACAGGAAAATCACAAATAAATACTGTACACCTTGAACGTACCATAAAAGCAATTAACAGGATAAAATGAAAAAGCTTAGGGCAGTATAAGCAATACACACCAATAACATTTAACGGTAGGATTATATTGTAAAAGTTGACAGTAATCCAGGATGATAATTACCCCTTCTCTTGAGAATTATTCATGCATAACACACTTTAAACAGCCATCCCATCAGGCCTGTAAGATTGCTGGCATTTACTCAACGAGCTCGCGATCGTCAATAATTAAAGAGTTACCACCTGGCTGTTTCAACGAGGAAGGCGGAGATTTTACACCTCTAGGGTCTTCTCAAGACAGTGACGGGTTAGAACAACATCAAAGTTTTGTATCCCAGAGGTTTTAATGAATTGTGTTAAAATCGATGGCTTACACGGAACTTAATGCAACCAAATATGTTCATAAATTTTGATTGACTTTTATAAGGTCAGAATTTCCAATATGGCCATACAATATGACAATTACGATAACAATTAGTAATTACTATGTACACCACAATGTAGAAATCTGAAGGAGAATTTGCATTCAACATCTTTTTACTGTATAATTATTCATTTTAGACAAATTGTCAGAAATTTCAGTTTTTTTTTTAGACATAAACACTTTAAACACAGCTACAGATTTTCTAAAAGAAGCAGACAAATCTCATTCATATGTACTTAAATGTCTCAAAAATTGGATTTCTTTAGAAAAAAACTCTGATATAAGTAACTAATGAAAACAAAAGACTTAATTTTGTATCCATAAAATTGAAAACTTAGCAACATATTTCATAAGAAATTATTTTTTCCATTAAAAAAATGTAACATATGTTTAAACTACAATAAGGAATTCGGTTAAGTAGTAAAATGAACCATATACCAATAATAAAATTCCCAAACCAATTATAATAAACATCAATAAACTTTATTCTGGATTTTGATATAAAAATTTAAGGATTATCGGCAATGTATCTACTTACTCCCTGTATTGTTATCATGGTTATGGCTTTTGTCTAAAGAACAGAAATTATATATCATAATGTGTGTAATTGAACATCATACCATCAATGCCCATAATAAATGCCTGGGTTGAAGTTACTTACTTGGCTAACTTTTTGGTACTAGTGTGCACCCAGCATTTCATAAATTTACATTATTCATAAATTTAGCATTTTACGAACTCACATCCTCTTTCATCTATCAACATGCCTAATAAGTGATTTAATAATACAGTCCTTAATTTCAATTAAGAGGTTAATCTGAAGAGAAGTAATCTTACTTTTCTTAGAACTTGTAACAGCGCTCTCCCAAATATTGTTTTATAGCCCTACGATAAGTGTGCTGTGTTGCAAAGTGATGTTTACTTATAAGAAAAGTGTATAACTATGTGAATTTCTTAATTTTTGGCAAAATTTTGTCATCTTGGCATTTTTACCTTCAGTTCACACAAAGTGATTCAGTTGAAAATTCCTCTTGCTGGTGTATTTCCATAATGTAGTATGTTGAATTCAGGTTATCACTCTAACATTTCTCTCAGCGTATTCAACAGAAATATTAACCAAAGAGTCTTTAAAAATGAGTACTATAACTCCAAATCACCAGTTTTCCCTTGTTTCACTTAGAAACACTAAACACCAACAAAGGTGTTTTTTCAATAAATCAGCTTGCGTTTATACTGTACATTTACCAAGAAATCAAACCCTTTCATTACACTGTGAATTTGTTATAATTTTTTGGTACTACTTTTCACATATTACCATAATACAAGGTTTAAATCAAACCACAAATTAATGTGCTCAGTAGAATACACATTCTATATAAGCTTATCTGCAGTACATTGTATTTCATAAAACATGAAATCAAGTATCCACAAAAATACAATTTTTCATAATCCATGAAAATATATAAATGCACAATACTGACAAACTGTAGTTTTAGGATCTTCCAATATTTCTAATCAATAAAATCTGATTTCTTTGGACCACACACAAGAAGTACTACTTATATTGAAAGTTATAACCCACTCCTTTTTGATCCTACCTAAAAAAAGTAGACCTCAATCTTTTTTTTTAAGGTAGGGGAAAAGTTAAGATTTCATTATTGTTTGAGTAAATTTGATCTCTTTTTAACTTTTGGGTACAGGCAAAACAATAGCAATACTATGAAATGGACAAAAGACTCAAATGGTTGGGTTGCACAGAATACTTCTTAAACTCATAAAAAATCATAATACTGTGGATTCATTATTATTTGTGTTCAAGAAAATATATATTTTTTCAAAGGCTTGTAAGCAAACTTGTGCAAACCACTGAATCAAATATGCGTGAAAAATACATTTGTTCCTCCTTCCACGAAAAATGGTACCCACAAAAATAAATTGATCCACCCTAGCAGGTGCACAATTCCCTTTTGAGTGCAATCTTTCTGTGAAATTTCAGAGATCTCGGTTGAAACCTGTATTAGGAGACATATTACAAATTTTTGCTGATCAAGTTCCTAAGTTGAGAGAATAAACATTATGAATTTGATGCAATGTTGCAAGCTTACATTTTTTTTATATTCCACTGTGAATATTAATGACATTGTGCTGCTATGTAATATATTTGAATGTAAAATATAAACCTTGCACTTTTTTCAAATCAGCCACCACATTGAATTGCCGTAAAATAAAGTTATCTATTATTGTACAGTTTGATGAAATGTTGAAATCCACAAGCCTATACCCTCAGAATATAATGAAATTCATGTTCATCTTTCAACATTTTCATGCATATGTCATACAAAAAATTTCTTGTTGTGTTGATGAAAATTTTGTGAAGAAAATAATTCCCATTCATATTATGCACAATAGATAAAAAATTCATCTTCAAATAAATTAACTTATGTTGTCATTTTTTAAGCATTCATTTAAATAATGGCATATTGCAAAATGTGTTAGAATCAAATGAAAATTTTCACATGAATTGACTTTGTTACACATGCCCTTCATGGCCCGAGAACACAGTTATTTCGTAGTGCATTTCTTTTAGACAATAAATTCAAATTAAAAAAATCGCACCTGCTCTATCTCAAAAAGATTTTTACAGTGTAGCGTACTACTATTGATACAAATAATATCAAAATTATAGAAACTTCTACCAGCTCTAACTCAAAATATTGACAATTCTGTGTTAAGGGGGGCTAAAATTCAGTTTGACAGCTTCAGACATTCTAATTTTTGACCTTTTTTAACTGGACCAAATCACTACTTAACATAAAGATTCAGCACCCACATTTTTTTAACATGTAATTTCATCCCCTTACTTAATATTTCATGCATAAAATATCAAGAAATAAATTGGGAAAGTGTATCAGAAAAAAATGCAAGTTATACACTGTTCACACTAGGGACTATATTCGTAGACAACGAAAAACCAAAGGATGATAACTGTGTCCTTGGACCTCATGAATGAAAAATTATTTTATAAAAGTGAATCTTTAAATTTGGAATTCAAACACATAAGCAGTTGTATACTATCAGTAATAAGTTTTCTTTCAATTTATAGAATTTTTATCTTTTATCCAATAATAATAATAATACACCTACAGTCATAAAATTAAGAATGGAAATGGGGAATGTGTCAAAGAGACAACAACCAGACCAAAGAGCAGACAACAGCCGAAGGCCACCAATGGGTCTTCAATGCAGCGAGAAAATCCAGCACCCGGAGGTGGTCCTCAGCTGGCCCCTAAATAAAATTGTGTGCTAGTTCATTGAAAATGGACGTCACACTAAACTCCAAAACATATAAATGAACTAAAATTAAAAAACATACTAGACTAACAAAGGCCAGAGGCTCCTGACTTGGGACAGGCGCAAAAATGTGGCGGGGTTAAACATGTTTTGTGAGATCTCAACTTTCCCCCTATACCTCTAGCCAATGTTGAATAAAGAAACCCCTAGCAATACGCACAGTAAAACTCAGTTTAAAAGAAGTCTGAGTCCGATGTCAGAATAGGTAACAAAAGAAACTATTCAAGTAAGAGCATTATTACTTCATAAATTTAACCTAGCAAGGCATGGCTGAAACAAATACAGAATTGAGCAAATGCTCAATTTCAGGAAAGTAAACTATTTCATATATGATACAGAATTCTAATAAACAAATTAATTCCAATACAAATTTCATCAAAGTTTCACTCAACAAAAGTGAGTAGAGAAATTTTATCTGCAATGCCCATTAATTTCTGTTAACCAACTTATTTTAGCAAGAAATTCATTTTTGCAACTTCCATGATTAGAACAATTACACAAATATAAATCTTCATAACTTGTAAAACTAGGATTTAACTTTTTACAATTACATTAAGAAAATGGTAAAATCAATAAATCGTTTGAAGTCCGCTAGAAAAGGTCTTAATGCCAAATAAACTATGTTTTCCTCTTATGAATACATTAAGAAAATATCCTGCAGAGTCGTCTAGAAAGGACTAAAGGCAAAATAAAATATCCGTGAAAATGAGTTGGTTTACAGTATGTATCTGTGTAAGCGATGCTGACTCATGTTAAATTAACTCAGTAATACAATGACAGAAACCCAACACATTTTTGAAGTTCCCTCATTTCTATCTTACCTCCCTTTGATTGTAGACGCTCTAATTGTTTACAAAAAAAAGGATATTATATATAAATAAATAATTCATTATGACTGTGAAAATATAGCATTAAAAAACAAAGTTTTAAAAATTTTTTTAATCAAGAATAAGCCATTATCAAAGTTTGTAAAGGTGCTAGATGGTTTACTTATCAAAACATTTTCATACTATTTTTATTATTGTATATGGAATAGTTTTCACAAAAATAAATAAAACTTGAATTTGAAAGTTTACGAGCATTAATTGTATGCAGCATTTCCTATAATCGTAATAATTAATCTCACATATTTGTTCATAGTTCAACAATCGCAGTAAAAAATGCATGCAGAAATTTCTATATTTACAGAAACTATAAAAATCCTAAATTTTAATCAGATATTTGTTTCAGTCAAAATCTCAGCAAAAAGTTACCCATATAGAACTAGAGCTTATGGTGCTAATAGACATTAAACAAACAATGAAAGGGTTTCAACATATTACTTCAATCTATTAATAATACTATCATACTATGGTAGGGGATAGAGCATTTGTACTTGAACAAATCATGGTATACAAATTGTCAATGAGACAGCAACCCATAGACACAATAAAAATAAAAGACATCAACAGAGCTCAAGCTTGTTAACACTTCTTAAGCTTAACTTTACACCAGTCATTTATCCAAATATTTAAAGAAATCACACAAATAAAGGGAAGTAACTCAAAATGACAAATAAAATTTCCTTCATAAGAAAATTATCCAATACATTTTGAAACCAGGTTCAAGGTCTAACTCATTGTAGAATGTTTTCAACAATGACTTAACTTTCAATGTAATACAATTAAAAAAGTTATCAAAATATAATGGGTGCTGAAAAAAATATCTCAAATCAAAAAGTCAAACTGGCAGCATAAAACTTAAATACCACTCCTTAATTTTGTGGAACATAATGTGTGTTTTACAGCAAGAATGGTCAGTAGAATGGCTGAATTTATTATGGGTTGAATGATGCATATCAAATTTAGATAGGATCTTCATGAATATATTCCTTTGTCTTTGACATGTTTGAAACTGGCTGAAGAGATTCAGAAAAAATTTGATGTTTGCATACAACACTACTTGTATAATCATGATAATAATAATAAAGGTCATCTCTCTTATAAAGTCAGTTTTCCCTGGTCCCAAGGATGATCTTTATAAACAGGTTTGACTGTATCTGTAAAGACTTCGTGAATTTGCAACTTTATATGACATTTATGGCCATATAAACAGTCATGATGACTTGTAAAGGCATGCCACTATATACACAATTTAACAACAATGAATATTTAGCAATCTGCCAAACAGATGATTTAGTAAAAGTGTTCTCACTAGGACGAGCTTATATGAGTCCTGTCTATTGACTCTATTCATCATCACTTTATTAAAGAAAACAAATTAAACCAGAACTTAATTTTGTTTACAATGTCCTTTTTAAATTATTTAGCTGTGTATGCCTGGCATGCTGATTTGTTCACAAGTTTCTGAGAAAATTGTGGTGAAAATATTTGTTGGACAAATGGACAAGCAGACAGGGTGATTACAATATAACCCCATTCCTTGATTAGGAGTAAACACACTTACATTTTAAATAATGAAAGCAATCCATTCTCATTAGTCAAGGCCTCTGTGTATGCTTCAACTTAGTGTAAGGTAATAGAGTCCAAATGTACACAAACATTTGACTAGTTAAAGTATAAAAATAAGGAGACTAGGTATGATTTCCAATGAGACAACTATCCACCAAAGTTCAAATAAATGGATGTAACCAATTATAGGCAACCGTACAGCCTTCAACAATGAGAAAACCCCATACTGTATAGTCGGCTACAAAAGGCTGCTACATGAAAAATGCGAAACAATTCAACTGAAATAAAATGCTTCGCTGAGCCCAGCTGGATACGACCGCAGAGGTCTAACCCTGAACAGTTGGGGCAAAAATGGACACAATATTCGCGCTTGATACAGGTCTGAATTTGGATTGTAATTAAATATTTGACACATAATAGGTTTCTGACACCGAATAACTGTAGTCAAAGAACTTAGAATTGGTTATATGATTTGAATTTATATTCAATTATTTGCTTTTGTGCAATACACTGTGCTGTTGCGAATTGACCCCCCCCCCCCCTTTTCCAACAAAAAAAATACATTACCCCCCCTTTTTTTTGCTTTAGTGAAATACACTATGCTGTTGCATATTGACCCCCCCCCCCCAAAAAAAAATAGTTTTTTACCCCCCACCCCTTTTTTTTGCAAAAAACAAAAATATTTGAAGAAATTTTCTTTTTAATTTCTGAAATCTTAAATGAAAAAAAAAATTGCTCCCCACAATTTCTTTTTTACCCCCCTCCCCCCCCCCCCCCCCCCCCTTTTTCCAAAAAAAAATTCTTTCCCTCAAGATATGGTCATAATCTCAATTCAAATTTCCAATGGAGTTTGCAACCATAATTACCAATACAAATACATCATAAAAGTCTTAAATAGACAATTTAAAAGCAGTGTAAGGGAGGTAATCCAACATTGTACAATTTTGTTTTTGGATTACCTCCCTTACACTGCTTTTAAATTGTCCATTAACCAGGAAACCCTTGTTTTTTCCCCTTTTTTGCCCCTAATTCCTAAACGGTTGGAGCCATAACCCCCCCCCCACAAAGCCAATCCTAACCATCCCTTTGTGGTATGGAAACTTGTGGTATAATTTCAGAGAGATCCATACACTTAAACACAAGTTATTGTCTGGAAGTTACAAATATGCTTATTTTTGGGCCACTTTTTTGCCCCTAATTCCTTAACATTGGTACCATAACCCCCAAAAACAATCCCAACCTTCCTTTTGTGGTATTGAACCTTATGGTAAAATTTCATAGAGATCCATTCACTTAAACTTAAGTTATTGTGCGAAAACCAATGTGTCTTTGGACGACGACGACACCAACGTCATACCAATATACGACCGCAAAAAAATGTTTGTGGTCGAATACAAACTAACGGCCTAATTTATAACAAAACAATAAACAAAAAACAAATATGACAGACATGAACCAACAACAACCACTGAACCAAAGGCTCCTGACAATGGGACAGGCACATACAGAATTTGTCAGGGTTAAACATGTTAAAGGATTGTTTCAACTTTAAAAAAAAAAACAGTGACTATTCTATATATACAACAGACGACTAGATTAACTTACCATCATGAAAGTGAGTTATTGCTTTGGTAACTTCTACACCATCTAGTTTATTATTACCGTCATAATCGTGTAATTTAAAGTAATGGAATTCTAACTCATCATCAGTCATTTCTTTCTCTGGTTTATCTACGACTTCTTTTAAATGCTCTTTTATATGTCTGTAAAGAGATTATTTGTTCTATTGAAACTAGCTTAGTCATTTAATAAATACATATGTCTTATGAATTGAAATTCATCAGAAAAATTCGGTGCAAGCTGTTTGGAAAGACAAATAAAACAACACATTCGGAGTGATATTATCAAAAGGGCCTAAAAAGGTAAACATCTTTGTCTGTTGGAACTTTCATTGACACAAGTTATATTATAATTCTTTTAAATCAAATTAAGATATTGCAGATTGTATATGTGATGTGATAACTAAGAAATATATATATGGTTTATGATTTTGCCATGGAATATACATGTATATGGGTCATGATTTTGCCATGGAATATACTTGTATATGGGTTATGATTTTGCCATGGAATATACATGTATATGGGTTATGATTTTGCCATGGAATATACATGTATATGGGTTATGATTTTGCCATGGAATATACATGTATATGGGTTCTGATTTTGCCATGGAATATACATGTATATGGGTTCTGATTTTGCCATGGAATATACATATATATGGGTTATGATTTTGCCATGGAATATACATGTATATGGGTTATGATTTTGCCATGGAATATACATATATATGGGTTATGATTTTGCCATGGAATATACATGTATATGGGTCATGATTTTCACAAGACTTCAGATTAATGATTGATAAGATTTGCATTCCCAGGAGCATATCTGTACCCAACATCCTATGTTGATATCCCTGTGAAAATATACGGAGTATTCAGGTATTTTGTAGGTACAATATTTAAGTGAATATTCACATAGATTCATGACATTGGTTTCAAATACTTTACAGCCTTAGTGGTTTCAAAACTATTGGATACATTCATACATATTGTCATAATAAAAGCCTTATTAGACAAGACATAAATTACTGTAACAGTACTGTATCAGCAATATGAGACAGGTTAGTTTATGGATCAACACTAGTACAATTTCAATTGAATAAAAGTAATAATAAAACATTAACATAATACTTCTAAAAAGAAACTGATGAAGATTACCAATGAAAATTAAAACCTTATATCATAAGGGTCTAGAGGAACCTAATTTGAAGTTGTGTAAGGGTCAACACCCAACAGTCATAGGATTTTTTGCTTTGCTCTTCTTTATTTATTTACCATTTGTGAGTACTCTATTAATCCGAGCTTAAACCTTTTTCCAATACCAAATGTATAATGTATACATTTTCTCCTTTGTTGCAGATTTTCTCACAATAATTGTAATTCACGAAACCTTAGTATGAACTTTGATTTAGGTTTACTTTCTCTGATAACAAACATGGGAAAGCATTTAAACAAACATACTCTTGATTATGGACATTTTCCCTCTGGTTGAAGGTATGTTGACCATGGTGACCTTGTTGATGACCTCCTTGACCTTGATTTTGATTTGGTGGTGGCTGCTGTTGGAATTGCTGTGTATTTGGATGTCCTTGAGGTGGCTGTTGATACAGTTGTTGCTGACCTTGACCTTGTTGATACTGTAAATTTTGTTGTTGCTGACCTTGGCCTTGTTGATACTGTACATTTTGTTGTTGTTGACCCTGATACTGTTGATTTTGACCTTGATATTGCTGTTGATTTGGAGGTGGTTGGTGCATGTGTTGTTGCTGTGGAGGGACTCCAGGAGGGAAAGCTTGGTTCTGATGTTGTGTTGTTAAGGCAACACACAAAAATAGAATGGACAATGACTGGATGATCATCTTTGATATCTGTAAAGCAAACAAAACAAAATTATATTATCAAGGACTACAATCCATTTTTTTAAAACATTTTTTTTTAATATCTTATTTGTAAACAATCCTGGTGTTTGATGTGATAGAGATAGGTTGATAATTGTAAAAATTTTCCATTTCAAAACTTTTTCACTATAAACATGATAAAATTCATGCTTGTAACAAAACAATAATTTTGAAAATCTTAACAAGCTATGTTTTCTTATCAAACAGCCTTTTTAAGCTTATATGAAACATAATTTTGCAATATGCACCCGAAAATGCAGAATAAAATACTATTTCACTAAACGTAAAGTTAGTTTTAATTGAATGCATTTTTCAGAAGATATATGTCAAAAATTCATGATGCAATGTTGGATGAAAAGAGATAAACATCATGAAATATGTTGCTTACTTATTTTGCTGATAATTTATGCAATGTGATCATGGTGATAGCCCAAAACTAAAAAAAAAAATGGTCTTTTAAAGCCAATAACTTCTTTAAGAAGTTGACTGACCATTTGGACCATATTAAATACTTTGTAGAATTTTTCACGCTGATCATTTTTGCAGTTTGTGTTTCTCTCTATCATATATCGTTTTCAAGATATTAAGCAAAAAAAAACAAAAATTTGAAAAGAAACACAGAAATAGGTCGCACAATATTGGTAGTATAATGAAAATGTTGGAATTAAAATGGCAAAACTATTATGTATAGACTATGCAATGCTTTCAAAGTCAAAGAAAATGGCTTAGGGGATGGACCTTATACTCTCAATGCTAATACAATTGCATATCAAATATCATTGACTTACCATTAGCATGATTAGTGGTTCTGGTTCAGATTAACTAAACTAATTACAAACTTTAAAAATTAAATCATGGAAAAGTATCAATAGACAACGACAGGAGGTGGTGCCAAAAAATCTTGGAAGAAGTGAGATGTGCCAATAGTAATGCAACTGCTTACCTAATATCATTTGTGGTCTATGGAGTGGTGAGACATTTTAATTTCATTGACTACCTATCAATATCCTGATTTGTATTTCAAGATTAAAGCCCAAAATGCCAAAAAAATGGGTAATAAATTAAATATTGTCATTTAAGGAATTTAGGAGTAAAACTAACATAAGGAGTCGACTGACCATTTTAGCTAAGATGGTGTATTTGTAGATCTCTTCTTGCTGACCATTTTAGCTAAGATGGTGTATTTGTAGATCTCTTCTTGCTGATCATTTTTGCAATTTAAATTTCATCTCTTCCATTATCATGTTTTTAGTTTTCAAAATAAAAGACAAAAAAATCGAAAGATTGGTAAGCATCATCGGGTAAGAATTGTCATTAAAGGGCAATAACTCCTATAAGAAGTAATCTGACATTTTGATCATAGAGTAAATTCTAATTTTAGCAATGGTGACCATGTTTGTTGCCTTGAGGATTCATGGGACATCATTTTAAAACTAGATACTAAATTGTACAAGGATGATTGAGGGTAGCTATTAGCCTGGCAATTTAAAATAAACTGCTTCGCTGAGTGCAGCTGGATACGCCCGCAGAGGTCCAACCCTGAACAGTTGGGGCAAAAATGGACACAATATTCAAGCTTGATGCAGGTCTGAATTAGGATTGTAATTAAATATTTGACATATTATAGGTTTCTGAATAAATGTAGTCAAAGAACTTGAAATTGGTTATATGAATTGAATTAATATTCAATTAAAGATTTCTTGCTGTTTTGCAATACACTGTGCTGTTGCGCAATACTTAGTAAATCTGTTGTCAGACTATAAACAAATAAAGTTCAATTTCTTCTCAATGTCATATTTGAAATTTATGAAAATTAATAGGGAGATTACATCAATAGCTATAAATAATTCACCAAAGTTTCATGAGAACTGCTGAAAGCATTTTTTAGTTATTGTCCGAAAACTGGATAATCACCCTTTTTTTAATGAATAAAACCCCAAAACTCAGAAACGGTAAATCTGAAATTTATAAAAAACGAAAGGGAGCTCGTGTCAATAGATTTAAACAATTCACCAAAGTTTCATGCATATTGGTTAAAGCTTTTTTGAGTTAATGTCCGACATGTTGACGACGGACGGACAGAGGGACAAACGGATGGACAGACGGTCAAAGGTATACCATAATACGTTCCATAAACGGGCGTATAAAAATGAAAACGTTTGTCAAAGTTAAAGGAAAGTTGACAGACAACAGATGCAATAGATGGCAATAAAAAGGAACAATACTTTTTTTTCAGTTTCATACATGTAGCTACATGACAGTTCAAAGTAAGATGTTTCATCAAAATTGTTTTAAACTATTTGAATGTGAAGATTCATGGGAAATCTGGGTAAATGTTTGAAAAAAGAAGTAAGTCATATTCATCTTGGTTGTTGTAACTTATCTTATTATTCATTCTGGATATTTCTGGAAATATTTTAAACCAACAAACACACAAAAAGGTAAGAATTTGTATATATATGCAAAATTTTCTAACCTTCAGTGAAGACTTCATGGCAAAATTGGGTCTCAAATTTGAAAAATCAATATAAAAATCAATATACTAATGAACTCAAAATCATAACCTTTTCCTGACAGTTGAGCTTGCACTTTTACCCTCTGCCTGTTTTGTTGACGGACACTGCCAGTCATATGATTTCCCGCAAATTTGTATAACTGATTACCAAAAAGAATAATGAGGACGAAAATCTGGAATTACATGTATTCTGTTTGTGTACGTAATAAAATGAGTCTAGAGCTTATTCAACATAGGATTTTATAGCAAACAAAATGAGTTCTCTTGGGAAACTCACCTCAGATCAATCAGGAAGATTTCTATATCTGTACAAAGAACAGTAATAAGGTGACTTTGTATATTTTTTTTTGCTTTGAGGTATAAATTATTATGTTTTTAATTAAACTACTTTAAAATGAGAAAAAAAAACTCTACATGAAGATAGCGCTTCTTTATCAATGTCTATTTTGTTTACTCTGAAAATGACATCATATATAAAACTCCTAAAAATAGGACCAACATGGGATATATGTTTACCTAATTCAGTTACTTTTTCACCAGAAATTATAAATGCTGGGAATTTTGTTACAATAAATATTGATATATATCTGCTGTTAACGGAATATCGTAAAGTATTCTAAAGGTTTGCTGACTTTGTTTCCTTTCACAGGTAACACCTGCCTCATATTAAACTTACATAAAATACTGATTAATGCATAACCATGATAACTACAATCAATTATGATTTGATTAAATATGTTTATTCAAACACAATAAAATTCTGAATTGCATATTTTATGTTAGGATATTCATATCACCATCAAAATTCTTGTTTTACAGTTTTTCTGAAATAATTTTTAACAGGAACTTTTTACAGAGATATTATTTTAATATAAAAAGGGCTACCAAAACGTTTGGTTTATCACCATAGACTCTGACTTTAGTTTCTCTTATAAACAACGAAAAAACAGGTTACTAGTATGTCGATTTTCGCAGGTAATTTTATAGGTACGACAACCAGTTACTCAGTTACATGTACCATCCCTTTTGAATCTGGTCATTAAATGTTAGAATTTACATTCAATTGGGACAATAATGTTATTTTTCTCTTTCGTATTGCAAGAAGAGAAGAAGGTATGTCAGTGAACCTAACACATCACCATTCTGACCATTATTTTGGAAGGTCTCCTTCCTGATCTGAATGTGAACTTGAAAATAACCACTTACAATGTACTAAAGAGATGTATATACAATGTACTTCAATTTAGAAAATCATAAATCTTTTACAATTATTTTGAAAGCAATTCTAAAGCAAGGTTAAATATTGCTTTGTCTTAAAACATTATAAGTTTTTCAAAACTGATGATGTCATGTTAACTATTAATAATAACAGGAAAATATAGAGATAAAAAACAGTGCCGATTTGTCTTGGTCCCGAAATTTCCTGATGCTGAAATAATGGTGCCAATTTGATTTTGGAACAAGGTTCCAAAATGTCTTTTTAGCCTTAAAACTACCTGTACATGCTGTAAATTGTAGTCACTATTTGTCCCACATTACTGAAAATGGCAATTGTTCTCATAAATTTGTCATGTAACAATAGAAAAAGTCTGATTGAGCAGTATGTGTGTGTGGATTTGTCAAGTGTTGCAGATTCAGAAATAGCAGAAAGGTCCATTTTAGCCTTTCATTTTTGTAACATATGTTAGAGAATAAAAATAACATATTTTTGTACATTAGATTTTTATCTATTGCATGGCTTAACAAACATTTATGAGTATTCTCTGAAAGGTATCAACATAAAATGTTATCTTGAAGCAATGCATACCTAATTATGACAATTAACCAGTTAACAAACGCTGTGATGTATATTGATGAGTTGGCCAAAGCCGAATGGAGATAAATATTTTCTTCAATGTCAATAATAACTCTGTATCTGCGGTAAATTTCACTTAGGTTAAAACGTATAAATGATTTTGCTGTTCCGAACATTTTTGACTCTTAGGACACAAGCGAAGAACAGGCTAAAGAATCTCGAAAAAATGTAAACAGGATGTTGCACGTGTTTGAGTGTTTAAAAATCATTCAAAATGCAAAACACAGGATCTGAGTCTATGATAGAAACTTTGGTATGGAACTGAATGAGAACAGTTGTGTATTAAAATAATATATGAAATAGGACCAAGTGCAGACCAAAGTTCAAAAGGAGAATTCAAAATAGTGATCAAGTCCAGGCGAATGAGCCCCCTTTTTTCAATTTTTTTAATTCATATTCTTTATTATTTGAACCTATTTTCACTTATTTTCACTTATTTGATGCTTTTTTGCTCTTCAACGTACAACGCGAGGGTACCTAAATTGCACCTATATTGACAGTTTTTTCATCTAGGTTTATTTATCATCCTGACCAAAGTTTCCCTTCTGTGTTTATTATGCCCCCGCCGTAGCGGAGGGACATTAAGTTTTACCCTTGTCCATCTGTCCTTCCGTCCGTCCGTATGTCCCAAAGTTGGTTTCCGTTCTCTAACTTTAGTTATGCTAACTTTACAATTTCGACTCCGTTCTCTAACTTAAGTTTGCCTCAATCAAATGTTATGAAACTTGTACACAATGCTTATTACCACAATATACAGATCAAGTTTGAATTTTGGTGCCGTCACTTTTACTGTTCTAGAGTTATGCCCTTTACAAATGGAAAAATTGTTAAATTTTTCTTTTTTTTTTCTAAATATCAAGTCATTTTTAAAATTCGAGTTACCTTCCTTTGTCCATGATTATAGTTGAATCAACTACAATCAATGTGTTATACAATGCAATGTTTAATTTTGCCTTCCACTGATAAATTAAAGCAATTTTTACCCTTCATTTCCAAAAGTATTTTAAAGTCTTCTTTGAAAATTGGAGTTATCTTTCTTTGTGCATAATGGTAGTTGAATCAACTACAACCAATGCTTTGTACAATGCAATATTCAATTTTACTTCCTACTGATAAATAAAAGCAACCTTTACCATTCAGTGCTTACAAGCACTTTGATTACCGTTCTAGGGTTATGCCCCTTTACAAATGAAAAAATTACTGAATTTTTCGTTTCCGTTCTCTAACTTGAGTTTGTCTTAATTATATGTAATTTCTAAAAATATCAATGTCATTATTTAAGTAATTTTTATACGACCGCACAAAAATTTTTGTGGTCGTATATTGGTATGACGTTGGCGTCGTCGTCGTTGTCCGGCGTCGTCGTCCGAAGACGCATTAGTTTTCGCACTCTAACTTTAGTTTAAGTGAATGGATCTCTATGAAATTTTACCATAAGGTTCAATACAACAAAAGGAAGGTGGGGATTGATTTTGGGGGTTATGGTACCAACAGTTAAGGAATTAGGGACCAAAAAGGGGCCAAAAATAAGCATTTTCTAGTTTCCAGACAATAACTGTGGAACGGTGTATGGATCTCTCTGAAATTATACTACAAGTTTCCATACCACAAAGGGATGGTTAGGATTTGCTTTGGGGGGTTATGGCTCAAACCGTTTAAGAATTAGGGGCAAAAAAGGGGGGAAAAACAAGGTTGTCCTGGTTAATGGACAAATACTTTAGTACAAAACATAATTTAAAGCAGTGTAAGGTAGATAAATCAAATACATCATTGAAATTATCTCCCTTACACTGCTTTTAAATTATGTATAAAGTAATGGTTAATGAACAATTAAGATAATTTAAAACAGTGTAAGGGAGGTAATCCAAATACAACGTTTTGGTTACTTCCCTTACACTGCTTTTAAATTATGTTTAAAGAAATGCATATTTATAAAGGAAGACCAGTAAAAATATCTGCAAATGTTGCATCTTTTTTTTTTACAAAAAAATCCATATGAAAGATTTGACACTATATTTTAAATTCTATTATAAAATAGATTAAGTTAGCACTATGGTAAATTTAAATGGGTAATTATGGTTTGGGGGAAAAAGGGGGGGGGGGGGTAAAAAGAAATTGTGGGGGGTCAATTTTTTCTCATTTCAGATTTCAGAAATTAAAAAGAATTATTCTTCAAATATTATTTTTTTTTCAAATTTCAAATATTGAAAAATTTCAAGAAGTAATCTTTAATTGCACAGTATGGCGCATTAGATTTGTAAAATCTTTGACCACATTTATTTATTTGTTATGCCGAATCTAACCATGTATTTAGATTTTTAATTTTGGATCCAGTTTTCAAATTGGTCTACATTAAGGTCCAAAGGGTCCAAAATTAAACTTTGTTTGATTTTAACAAAAAAATTGAATATATGGGGTTCTTTGATATGCTGAATCTAAACATGTATTTAGATTTTTGATTTTTGGCCCAGTTTTCAAGTTGGTCCAAATTGGGGTCCAAAATTAAACTTTGTTTGATTTCAACAAAAATTGAATATATTGGGTTCTTTGATATGCTGAATCTAACCATGTATTTAGATTTTTTATTTGTGGACCCCGCTATCAAATTGGTTCATATTGAGGTCAAAAGGGTCCAAAATTAAACTTTGTTTGATTTCATCAAAAATTGAATTATTGTGGTTCTTTGATTTGCCAAATCTAACCGTGTATTTAGATTTTTAATTTTGGGTCCCGTTTTTTAAATTGGTCTACATTAAGGTCCAAAGGGTCCAAAATTAAACTTAGTTTGATTTTAACAAAAATTTAATTATTTGGGTTCTTTGATATGCCAAATCTAACCGTGTATTTAGATTTTTAATTTTGGGTCCCGTTTTTTAAATTGGTCTACATTAAGGTCCAAAGGGTCCAAAATTAAAGTTAGTTTGATTTTAACAAAAATTGAATTTTTGGGGTTCTTTGATATGCTGAATCTAAACATGTGTTTAGATTTTTGATTATGGGCCCAGTTTTCAAGTTGGTCCAAGTTGGGGTCCAAAATTAAACTTTGTTTGAAATCAACAAAAATTGAATATATGGGGTTCTTTGATATGCTGAATCTAAACATGTATTTAGATTTTAGATTTTGACCCAGTTTTCAAGTTGGTCCAAATTGGGGTCCAAAATTAAACTTTGTTTGATTTCAACAAAAATTGAATATATGGGGTTCTTTGATATGCTGAATCTTACCATGTATTTAGATTTTTTATTTGTGGGCCCGCTATCAAATTGGTTCATATTGAGGTCAAAAGGGTCCAAAATTAAACTTTGTTTGATTTCATCAAAAATTGAATTATTGGGGTTCTTTGATATGCCAAATCTAACCGTGTTTTTAGATTTTTAATTTTGGGTCCCGTTTTTTAAATTGGTCTACATTAAGGTCCAAAGGGTCCAAAATTAAACTTAGTTTGATTTTAACAAAAATTGAATTCTTGAGGTACTTTGATATGCTGAATCTAAACATGTGTTTAGATTTTTGATTATGGGACCAGTTTTCAAGTTTGTCCAAGTTGGGGTCCAAAATTAAACTTTGTTTGATTTCAACAAAAATTGAATATATGGGGTTCTTTGATATGCTGAATCTAACCATGTATTTTGATTTTGGACATTGGACCATAATAGGTAAATTAAAAAAATTGAAGTTCTTAGACCACATTCTTTCTGTGTCAGAAACCTATGCTGTGTCAAATATTTAATCACAATCCAAATTCAGAGCTGTATCAAGCTTGAAAGTTGTGTCCATACTTGCCCCAACTGTTCAGGGTTCGACCTCTGCGGTCGTATCAAGCTGCGCCCAGCGAAGCATTTTATTAAAATTGGAGTTATCTTCCTTTGTCCATGATTATAGTTGAATCAAGGTAACATTAAACAATCAATGCTTTGTACAATGCAATGTTTAATTTTGCCTTCCACTGATAAAACACAGATCAAGTTGAATTTGGGTAGTGTCACTTTAACCATTATTGAGTAATGCCCCTTTATAAATCGAAAGATTTCAAAATTTTTAGTTTCCGTTCTGTAACTTAAGTTTGCCCCAACCAAACATTATGAAACCTATACACAATATTCATTACCTCAAAACTAAGATAATGTACAATTTTTTTGTTTCCGTTCTCTAACTTTAGTTTGCCTCAACCAAATGTTATGAAACTTATACACAATGCTTATTACTACATAATACAGATTAGGTACGAAATTTGGTGGCGTCACTTTTACCATTCTTGAGTTATGTCCCTTTATAAACATAAAAATTGCTGAATTTTTTCGTTTCCGTTCTCTAACTTTAGTTTGTCTCAACCAAATGTTATAAAACTTATACACAACCGTTCTAGAGTTATGCATGTTTACAAATAGAAAAATTGCTGAATTTTTAGTTTCTGTTTAAGTGAGCCTCAACCAAATGTTATGAGACTTACACACAATGCTTATTACCACAAAACTCAGATCAAGATCAAATTTGGGTAGCGTCACTTTTACCGTTCTTCAGTTATGTCCCTTTATAACTATATGATATGCAAGCGGGGGCATCATCTGTGTCCACATGTGGACACAATCCACATTTATTTTGTAGATGTTTCCTGATTTACTATATACGTCCACGAATTTAATTTTGAATCCATATTGAATCATAGAAAAAATGGGATCGAACAGACCTCCAAATGATCCATGATTCTGTAATGAGAAGTACTCGAATTGCATCCATGCTTATAAATTCACATCTGTATATAAAAATTGAATAACTGATGTTATTTATTTTTATTGCTCCAAATATTTAGAGCAATTTGACAATAGTCATGATAGTCCATGCTAACTATTTATTTTTTAAGAAATGGATGCCTGTTACATGTTTTAATTGCTTATTTTTAAAAGTTGACTTTATCATGTTCATGTGGACGTCGCATGACTTGACGTTTACCTAGATTTTACTAGTACTTTTTTCAGTGAATACTTTATCTGTTGATTTATACCATGTATACGGCGAAAGTTTTGTGTATAATTAAATATGTTTACATGGTTTAGGTATGTTGAAAGACGAACATAATGTCAAATCATAAAAATACAAATTGTTTAGTTTCTAAGAAAAAGATTTCCACTGCTATTTTTGCCAAATTGGTGCAATTTGGGTACTGTGACTTTTCTATTAAGATAACAAACGTTTATATATCACACCCCTCTATTCACATTCACAATTCAAGAAATATGTTGTGAAGTGTGGGGGTTTGAGTATGCATTAAGGAGCTGAGACTCTGATCTTTACGAACTATTGCACATATTATATTAGAATTTATTAAAGAAATCCTAGGGATATATTGCAAAACTTCTAATGATGTGAGTAGAGCAGAGCTAGCCAGACTCTAAGAACAAAAATAATCACGTCCTCTATAAAATATTTAGACCATTTTGTCACATCTGAATCTCATGAATCTTAGCACATGATTTACTCAAAGCATCTTGGAAAAAAAACCCTTGGGTTATTAATATTATTTCATGTCTTCAAGAACTTGGATTCCCCTTTGTAGCCCAGAATTCAAATTTAACTCTTAAACCATTGTTTAACCAATTACATCAGCGCATTATAGACAAATGATAGATCAAAACCTACAAGTAACAAGAGCAAAATTCTAAAATGTTTTTGATAACATTTCAATGATAAGGGAACATTACCTTATGTCGAATGGACTTACTAGGAAATCTGATCCTGACCATCTATTATTGCAAAAATGAGACTAAGCGCTCAGTATCTCAAAATCAAAGAGGGAGGTATAAAAAAATTGCTAGAAATGAAAGATTTTGTAATGTACAAATGTACAAAATGTATGTATTCAAAACAAAATTGAAGACGAAAAACCACTTCATGTGGCATTGTCAATATCATAAAAGGGAAAGAGAAACCCTTGAGACAAAATTATCTAAAATTTATTTAAATTTCTAAACTATCAACATTAATAGTGTTAAATCAAAATTATTATTTATCAGTGGGTCTTTACAGATACTAAAGATGTGTTGTTCTTATATTTCTGAATTGTCTGAAGTAAGAAATCATGTATTACAAAAATATTAATAACATAATATCATGAACATGCAGGTAACTTGTATACAACCTATTAATATTATAGTTGCTTGTGCTAGATGTTTGTTTCTAGCACATTTATACTTGTATTATGGGATTTCATACTATTAAGAACGCATTGTGACGTCACAATTTCCATGGAAAAAGAACACATAGTACAAATTCACATGATATAAGAAAACATACATGTATGATCTGTTCGTCATTATCATTTCATAATCTATTGGTACCGTCTTATGGAGTGTATTTACATGTACATAATATATCTCAGTTGGTTTAATACCTATGCGTTTTCAGTGACAATTCAGTTGTAAATAATTGTCACATTTTCACCATTAAAATTATGGATATTATTATAGATACATTGTACCATAAATAGTTAATAAATTTAACAACTTTTTATCACAAATATATCGATTTATTTAAGGAGCACAATTCTATCTGCAGGAATTTATTAAATAGGGGTTTAACACACCCAGCTTTTTATGTTAAAATTATATATTACTGTTGAAAATTGGAAAAATGTACTAAATTATACAAACGACCCTCAAGCCAATCCCTGGATCTATATAATTTGAATTCCCCAGTGTGTATAAATTTTATACCTACATGCTGTAATATACCTGTATATATATGTGTATTGTATTTACTCCTGTTCTTTTTTGCAGAGGGACATTTGTGAAGTTTTGTTTGATTCATCACTAGAGGATCCAAGTGCACCACTGATTTGGTTGAATAAGTTGGACAAAGAACTGAAAACAGGCAAATACCATAAACTGATAACAATATATATATAAGCAAAATGTGTCATTGTATCTCCCTTGCACATTTTTTGTGGGGTAAATGTCAAGGATCCAACAACCCAACAAAAAACAAAGCCACTGAAAGACATCTACAGGTCAATATGCCTTCCTCAATGGTATACAAGTATCTCTTACTATATTTTTAGGTGTAAAGTTTTTATTTTTGTTTAAAGTGCCTCAGTTTCTGTTGTGTCCTTTTTTGTGTGCAATTAACACATTAAGATGAGAATAATATGCCCTTATATAAATTAATTCAGTAGACTAAAATAGACACTGTCACACAAAATCTTTACAAAACATATGTATTAAACAGAAGAACATCAAATATTGGAGAATATTTAACACCACACAAATAATCGTCTGGATCGTAATATTATTATTATTTATTAAAACTGGTTTAAAATAGATGACACAGTCACTACAGCTGAATTTGTAACATGCTTGCACACACAAGATAATAGTCTACAGAACAGTATGTCACTGTTTTGAAAATATCGATTTAAGTTGGGGCGAATTGTCTTTGCTCACACTCCCAGACTTGGCAGAGGGGAATCAGATTTCAGTTTTTAAAATCTTTGGTTTGACTCCTACTGCAGGCAGGGTGAGAAGGCCACAACAAGACCACCAACTTAAGGTACATGTAGCTAGTGGAAGATTTAATAACTTTGCAGTCTGATTGGTATAAGCATGAATTACAACCTTATTGATAGAGATGAAGGTTTGCATCCAGTGAATTCAGTTATTCTTATATGTTTAATTGTTGTTTATCATTATAAGGCTTTTTATATCTATTTTTCTAAAATAGATGATCCATTGTGTACTAAGGGAGATAACAATGTTGACATGGTCATTCCCAAACTACTGGATGTTCTCAAAGAATGTTTGTCATCCCATAGATGGTCTCAAGTGGTACCAGTTATAAAACAAATATCTAAACATGAACTTACAACATTCTGGAAGGTACAGTATCATAATTTATCACATTTTTAAAAGATATGGTAACTCCTCCCTTACCCACTTCCACACACCACCACACACATACACACAATCCATTTAGCATACAGATATGAAATTTGGGACAATAACTGAAAATACTATTTAATGACCTTTCAAGATGGTGGTAATACTATAGCAAGCATTTTCATGTACTTTATATATTTTTTACAACATTAAATTGTCTCCCGACTGCACTCCTGAAATCCAAAAGTATATACCATCTGCATTTAACAGTTTGATAATTGTTCATAACTAGTTTAAAATGTACTTATTTATGTTTTAGTAAGTTATGTTGTGTCTATTTAAAATAGATAAAGTTTCCTGTACTTACTTACCTGTATGATACTGTACATGTTGTTTGTGTTTTTCTAAGATACTATATCTTTATGATATATATTTTAGTCAACTGTATTTAAGAAAAATACTTTCATTAAGTGGATGTATTAGATTTTTAGTCAGTAAATTTTCAGGTGAAATTTTTATCACATCTTTATCTAAATAAAACCATAGAATTGATTAAGTACATCAAGTGGAGATAACTCATTATTTCATCAGACAGTGGAAATATTTTTGTAGACTATTGTTGTGGTAAACAAAGTAGATATAAGGGGATTTGTTTTAATTTATTCATCTTTATTTTAGATAATAACATATTATACCAAAACAATATTCATTATTAGAAAATAATTAAGTGCTCTTATGTTGTTGTAATTGACATCAATAATGAAGTTCTGGAAAAGTTAGATAGTTACATTTAGAAATGGCCGAAATTTTATGGTACATATGGATTGATTTGTTGGGACTTTTAAAAATAGAATGATAGGTTTGTTTTTAAAAAAATCTATAAAAAAATCACATCAAACAGAATTTCTGTTAAGACATTATAAATAGTCTAAGAAAAGCACAACCTTGTGCAATGATAATTGTAAGAATCATCTGGATGTTGGGTAATAAGTGTTCACAACTGTATATCAATAGGATTTAATTCAATAAAAACAAAATCAATGTTAGTAACAATGAAATCAGAATTACAGTGTTAAGCTGATAACCTTTAAGAATAGGTTTATTCATAGGATCAATAAGTTTCCACAAATCATATCTGTGCAAAACACCATATCTTCAAAGACTATTGGATACTGTTTAAAGGGAAATAATCCTTACATAAATTGATTGTCTCCCATATTACGTTCTCTTCCATCTGCATGCAATAACTGTTCAGTGTTCTATTGTGACGTATTTTATTTTATTATTTCATTGTTATAACACAAATCGTTGTAATCATTGTATGAAATTTAAAACCCGCAAGGGTCCATAATTGGATTATTAAAGTATTCTTATTCTTATTCTTATTCTTATTCTTATTCTTATTCTTATTCTTATTCTTATCTGAATGTCCAGGGTTCTATAAACAACATCAAAAACAAAAATTAGGATGTATTATCTTGTTTGTAATAAGGTTTCTACAGGTACAGTTAGCTTTGCACAAAATTGATAAACTTACTTTTTACGCAATCTTTAATTGTATTGTGTACTTTATTGTATTTCCAGACAAGTATGGAAGCTATGTATGTGTCTGATTCTGCAGTTTCCTTGGTGCAACAACTCGTCAAGTAAGTCAGTATAGTTTATCCTTGCATGTATTAGGGGAATTCAAAATTGTCAAAATTGTTCTTCTAAAACATATGTTGGAACAGCAAATTTTGTATCTTCTGCCAAGGTCAGGCAGTAAATATTGTCAATGTCTAATTATTACTGTAGCACCTTTAGTAAAACAAAAGGTTAACTTTTTCACAGGATCAAGTTTATACGTGTTATCTATGCAGAAAATATTTTTTAAAAATCTGTATACCCTTGCAAGCAAAAGGAAAGAAACAAAACTTGATGTGTGAAACAATTCATGCAGCATGAATGTTCTGCAAATAATGAAGATATAAATATTTTTCAAATATACAAAAAATGTGCATCTTTTATGCACTACTGTGTTATATTTTGTGCTTTTTGTATTCCTTTCATTTTTGTCGGCGTCGGCGGCGGCGTCCACAAATATTCACTCTGTGGTTAAAGTTTTTATACGACTGCAAAAAAATTTTGTGGTCGTATAATGGTATGACGTTGGCTTCGTCGTCATCGTCCGAAGACACATTGGTTTTCGCACTCTAACTTTAGTTTAAGTGTATGGATCTCTATAAAATTTTACCATAAGGTTCAATACCACAAAAGGAAGGTTGGGATTGATTTTGGGGGTTATGGTACCAACAGTTAAGGAATTAGGGGCCAAAAATAAGCATTTTTGTAACTTCCAGACATTACTTGTGTGTTAGTATATGGATCTCTTTGACATTGAACCACAAGGTTCCATATCACAAAGGGAATGCTGGGATTGATTTTGGGGGTAATTGCCTCCAAATTATAGGAATAAGGGGCCAAAAAAGGGGCAAAAACAAGCGTTTTTCTAGTTTCATGACAATAACTTGTGTGTAAGTGTATGGATCTTTCTGAAATTGTACTACAAGGTTACATATCACAAAGGGAAAGCTGGAATTGAGTTTGGGGGTAATTGCCCAAAACGTTTAGGAATAAGGGGCCAAAAAGGGGCCAAAAATAAGCATTTTTCTAGTTTCCAGACAATAACTTGTATTCAAGTGTATGGATCTCTCTGAAATTGTAGTGCAAGGTACCATACCACAAAGGGAATGCTGGGATTGATTTTGGGGGTAATTGCCTCAAAATTTTAGGAATTAGGGGCCAAAAAGGGGCAAAAAAACAAGCATTTTTCTAGTTTCAGGACAATAACTTGTGTGTTAGTGTATGGATCTTTATGAAATTGTACTACAAGGTTCCATATCACAAAGGGAAAGCTGGGTTTGAGTTTGGGGGTAATTGCCCTAAACGTTTAGGAATTTGGGGCCAAAAAACAAGCATTTTTATACGACCGCAAAAAATTTTGCGGTCCTATATTGGTATGACGTTGGCGTCGTCGTTGTCCGAAGACCCATTGGTTTTCGCACTCTAACTTTAGTTTAAGTGAATGGATCTCTATGAAATTTTTACCATAAGGTTCAATACCACAAAAGGAAGGTGGGGATTGATTTTGGGGGTTATGGTCCCAACAGTTAAGGAATTAGGGGCCAAAAAGGGGCCAAAAATAAGCATTTTTGTAACTTCCAGCCATAACTTGTGTGTTAGTGTATGGATCTCTCTGACATTGTACCACAAGGTTCCATATCACAAAGGGAATGCTTGGATTAATTTTGGGGGTAATTGCCTCCAAATTTTAGGAATAAGGGGCCAAAAAGGGGCAAAAAACAAGAATTTTTCTAGTTTCATGACAATAACTTGTGTGTAAGTGTGTGGATCTCTCTGACATTGTACCACAAGGTTCCATATCACAAAGTGAATGCTGGGATTGATTTTGGGGGTAATTGCCTCCAAATTTAAGAATTAGAGGCCAAAAAGGGGCAAAAAACAAGCATTTTTCTAGTTTCATGACAATAACTTGTGTGTAAGTGTATGGATCTCTCTGACATTGTACCACAAGGTTCCATATCAAAAAGGGAATGCTGGGATTGATTTTGGGGGTAATTGCCTCCAAATTTTAGGAATTAGGGGCCAAAAATAAGCATTTTTGTAACTTCCAGACATAACTTTTGTGTTAGTGTATGGATCTCTCTGACATTGTACCACAAGGTTCCATATAACAAAGGGAATGCTGGGATTGATTTTGTGGGTAATTGCCTCCAAATTTTAGGAATTAGAGGCCAAAAAGGGGCAAAAAACAAGCATTTTTCTAGTTTCATGACAATAACTTGTGTGTAAGTGTATGGATCTATCTGACATTGTACCACAAGGTTCCATATCACAAAGGGAATGCTGGGATTGATTTTGGGGGTAATTGCCTCCAAATTTTAGGAATTAGGGGCCAAAAAGGGGCAAAAAACAAGCATTTTTCTAGTTTCATGACAATAACTTGTGTGTAAGTGTATGGATCTTTATGAAATTGTACTACAAGGTTCCATATCACAAAGGGAAAGCTGGAATTGAGTTTGGAGGTAATTGCCAAAAACGTTTAGGAATAAGGGGCCAAAAAGGGGCCAAAAAACAAGCATTTTTCTAGTTTCCAGACAATAACTTGTGTTCAAATGTATGGATCTCTCTGAAATTGTACTGCAAGGTACCATACCTCAATGGGAAGGCTGGGATTGAGTTTGGGGGTGATGAATCATAAGGGGGTTCAAAAAATTGGGGGGGGGGGATTTTTTTTTTCTTTTTTTTCTTTAAAATTTTCCATTTTAAATTGGTTATTTCTGATTTATATATAAAAGCAAATAATAATGATATGGTTTGAATAGGTAAATTAAAATTTTTTAACTTCTTAGACCACATTCATTCTGTGTCAGAAACCTATGCTGTGTCAAATATTTAATTACAATCCAAATTCAGTGCTGTATCAAGCTTGAATGTTGTGTCCATACTTGCCCCAACTGTTCAGGGTTCGACCTCTGCGGTCGTATCAAGCTGCGCCCCAGCGAAGCATTTTATTCTGGTTTCCAGACAATAACTTGTGTTCAAGTGTACGGATCTCTCTGAAATTGTACTGCAAGGTACCATACCACAAAGGGAAGGCTGGGATTGAGTTTGGGGGTGATGAATCATAAGGGGGTTCAAAAAAATTTGAGGGGGGATTTTTTTTTCCTTTTTTTTCTTTAAAATTTTCCATTTTAAATTGGTTATTTCTGATTTATATATAAAAGCAAAGAATAATGATATGGTTTGAATAGGTAAATTAAAAAGTTTTAAGTTCTTAGACCACATTCATTCTGTGTCAGAAACCTATGCTGTGTCAAATATTTAATCACAATCCAAATTCAGTGCTGTATCAAGCTTGAATGTTGTGTCCATACTTGCCCCAACTGTTCAGGGTTCGACCTCTGCGGTCGTATCAAGCTGCGCCCAGCGGAGCATTTTATTGAAATTTTAATAACTTTCTTAAATTATCCTGGTTTTTTACCAAACTTGGATAGAAGCTTGTTTGTGATCACAAGATAGTATCCAGAAGTAAATTTTGTAAAAATAAAATTCCAATTTTTCCGTATTTTACTTATAAATGGACTTAGTTTTTCTGCCGGGAAATATTACATTCACTCTGTGGTTAAAGTTTTTAAAATTTTAATAACTTTCTTAAACTATCCTGGGTTTGTACCAAACTTGGACAGATGCTTGTTTATGATCATAAGATAGTATCCAGAAGTAAATTTTGAAAAAAAATAAATCCATTTTTTCCTTATTTTACTTTTAAATGGACTTAGATTTTCTGCCAGGAAACAACACATTCACTCTGTGGTTAAAGTTTTTAAAATTTTAATAACTTTCTTATACTATTTTGGATTTGTACCAAACTTGGACAGAAGCTTGTTTATGATCAAAAGCTAGTATCTAGAAGGAATTTTGTTTTCTTCCAGTTAACATTACATTCAGTCTGCAGTTAAAGTTTTTAAACATTAAGTTTATTAGATTCATAAACTATCCTTGATTTTTACCAAACTTGGACAGAAGCTTCTTACAATCAAAAGATAGTATCAAGTGGAATATTTTTATTGATTTACTTCCTCATTTTTGTTGAGCCTGCAATTAACAGAAAAAGTAGGCGAGACACTGGGTTCCGCGGAACCCTTACGAATTTTATTAACATCCAAACAAATAAGATTCAAACGTAAAAATCTATTAATAATCTTGTATAAAATTCAAAAGCAAATTATTTATTGGTGAAAATCCAAATAATGGATTTTTACAAAGCCATAAAAAATGACATTATTTACAAACATACAAAATACGAAATTAACAAACATTCATAGTATATATAAGTATATCATATGTTAAGATATTTTTGCTTATGATAACTGCACACTTAATTTAGGGAACATTATAATTCAAAGTATAATTCAAACCTTAAAAAGAAAATGCATGATCTTGTTGATGCCAATCTAAGTTCCCCATATGTGGCATTGTTTTATTACCTTGATAATTTATGCTCAATTGATATGCATGTGTTTTGTAGGGAGTTGAAGACTGTACGTCATCTCAGTTGTCAGGAAGTTTTGTTGGAATACCTCATGTTTTTACTTCATCATGGAAAAATAGATGATGCAAAACAGATTTCACAGGTCAGAATGATTTTTTTGTTGTAAATAGAGTTTTCTACATGTTTTATCTATATATTTATAAAGCTTCATTGTAACAAAGCACTGTAAAAAGTACTGCTGAAATTCAGAAACTTTTGCCTATTATCTCCTTTGAACATTTGAATAGACCACTTTCGAATTATGTCCTTCACCAGAAAAGTTCGTCAACTATGCACGCCTTTATGACGTCATTTACCAAATAGAGGGGATCGCCTGTATCCCTTCACTATTAAAGTTTATCAAGCGTCTTCATGATCGTCATTATGCAGGATAAACTAGAAATAATATTTGTTTCGTAGGTACGTAATCACAATTCCCCTAATGACAGCAGTGCTGATTATCAATTACCGGTATAAGAATTTAATTTGCAAAATAATTTCTGCAATATAGCATCATTATTTTTCAACCGCTCCCTCAACATGGGGAGGAAGTAACAATGCCCTTAAACGCACAAAAAATGTTCACTAAAACCAAAGTTTTTGACAGAAATGCAACAAACTTGAAAGTGGTCTATTACTTAGATTATCTACTGTGCATTCAGAAAACGATGGGATGTTTTCTTGAATGAAAAAAAGTGTGACAGGATGTACCATCCAATAGTTAATCAAACAATTGCTGAAATCGTTATGTTAAACCAAATGATGGGATTGAAGAGATTTTCATAAAATCTCTTTCATTGAAAACATGTAAGTGACTTTTTGTAATTTATGAGGGATTTTACTCTCAGGATTTTTTATAGATAGTGTACTGTCATATTTTCTTTTAACTGTAGGATTTTTTTTATAGATAATGTACAGTCATATTTTCTATGACTGTAATAAGTATTTTTTGTTTGTAATGATCATACATGAGGGATTGTTTTAGTGAGAGATCTGCCGTATTACCTGTGAGATTTTTGTCTCGGCTGCCACGAAAGTCGCAGAATTTCAGGCATGGGGATGCTAATCCAGTGATGGCAACAGAGTTAACAGTGGACATCTTAGCGTGTGCACTCTTGATTTAAAATAATCTAAAATGCTATAAAATTCTTAAAATAAACAAATAAATCCATATATTGATAAATTTATGAACTAAAATTAACATCAGATTACAGGTTTTACACTTAATATTGTAATAATTCACTATAAAATGTTTACAGTCAATAATAAATAGAGAGTTGACGTTTTTGATTTTTTTTAAGGAAAAAGTTAAACAAACAAGGTATGAACAGACTGCTCGAGATCATCACACAGAGGTTTTATACAAATCATATCTAGGTTTAGTATGGTATGTGGAATGGAAGTCTCTGAAGATGAAAATTAAAGATTTGGATGAAAATAGTAAGTCAACAATTTACTGTGACTTGACTGTAAGTGTTGCTCTCCACCTATTGCAACTTATTCATAATTCTGACCAAATTGCAATTTGTTTTATAAAACCAAACTGTTCAACTGGTCAGAAATTTGAACGAACTGCTGTAGAAAACCACAGTCAAGTCGTGAAAGTGCAAGGTGATAAAGTAAAGCATACTTACAATCCTATAAGACTTTAATTCCACTTCAATGTTATTATGAAAAATCAGTCTAACAGTTTGTATAGAAATTTTATTGTTATTGTCATGCTAAAGGTGATAGGTAGTAATTTTGAATTGCTATAAAAATGTCCAAACTAAGCTTTCATACAATTTGTTTTTTCGAAAAGTCTTCTATATTCATAAGAATCAGACATCATTTGAATTAAAACATTTCATATTCAGAAAATATGTGTGAAATTACAATACGTTGTTAGGAAGTTTCCATGGGAGGCAATCAATTTTTCTTTCGAAAAGTCTTCTATATTCAAAAGAATAATGTTTTAGGTTATCTCCCATGGAAACTTATGTTTTGATTTGAAATTTAACTTAAATTTACATTCACTTATATTATACCATTTCCACTTTTTGTGACCAAGACTCAGGTCTGACAGATGTATCTATGTAACAAGAACTATCAGACAGTAATTCTACCTGTAATTTATAGGTGACCTTGTATCTAACTATGAAGAAATAATGGTAGTTTATGCACAGAAAGCTATGATTGGTTTCCAGCAAGTGTCGGGAGAGGTTGGAGTATGGGATATATTTATTACTAAACATGTAGAGGTATTTATACAAATTTACACAAAAGCTAACAAATTATTCATGTCAGCACTGGTAAAAAAAGTTTCAGAATGGCGATAGGGATAAAATGTTCCACGTCATGAATTCTTGTTTGTGATTGTCAAAAAAAGGTATTCTTGAGGTGTGAATATGCCAATTGGTGTACTGGAATGTCAAATGGATTTCAAAAGTCAATTCCTAGTATTTCAGTTTTTTTCTTTTAAATTTCAAGTTTTTTTTTTTATGCCCCACCTAGGGGCATTATGTTTTTCGGTCTGTGGGTCCGTTCGTTCGTCCATCGGTCCGTTCGTTCGTCCGTCCGGCTTCAGGTTAAAGTTTTTGGTTAAAGTTTTTGGTCAAGGTAGTTTTTGATGAAGTTGGAAGTCCAATCAACTTGAAACTTTGAACACATGTTCCCTATGATATGATCTTTCTAATTTTAATGCCAAATTGGAGTTTTGACACCAATTTCGCAGTCCACTGAACATAGAAAATGATAGTGCGAGTAGGGTATCCGTGTACTATGGACACATTCTTGTTTTACTGAAAATCATTTGGAACAGATGATTGTTGTCATCCCTATATCTGTAAGTAAGGGTGGTCAGTTGTCTTCTTTGCACCTTTTTCTGCTGCCTGCAAACTGATCATGTGAACAAGCACAGTAAATACCCGACTGAGTCAGTCTAGTACATAGCAGGGTTCATATTCATATCACATTAACATGCATTCTTCCTTGTATACATTGGCAATCATACCACATCTTATTTTTATATGTAATATTTGCCACGGCACATTAAACAACACAACTCACATCAGCCATACACATTTATATATAAGAAAAGACAATTTTATAATAATGAATGGAGAAGAAATTCCTGTAACATTATTTGAGGAAGATTCATTTGTTACTATGGTAACAATTAGTTTTTTAGTAAAATAATTTTAGAAAAGTTTTGCCCAAGGTTTTGAATTAATATAAAATAGCAAAATAATGGCAAGTCATGAAAAGGGTGACATGCTGAAACTTTTAACAAAAGCAACATTCCAGGAAGGCAGAAAGGTTAGAGTTCATAACTGATACCTGGGATGAATATTTATATTTATATGTATTGTTGTATTGTATATTCTAACTAATTTGTTTCGATCAGAAAGAGTAACATGTTCAACTGTATTTTCAAAGGTTGACTGAAAACGGCAGTTATTTAAATTTTTTTTTGAATATTTCTAAAATGTCTAAAAATAGAAATCTAAATACTTAAATACTTTGTGACACAATTGTAATAACCAATCAAATTAGCTTTGCTCTATTTCCGGCATATTGACAATAATTATTATAACAATTGTAGCCTTTATATAATGTCATCAAGGATATATCGACCCAAAGAAGTATATCAACCTCAGACACTGTCCTTAGTCGATATACTTTGTTCAGGTCGATATATCCTTTTATCAACATCATTCAAAGGCTAAAATTGTATAATATAGATATGCACCTGTCATTTTCTCTGTCTGTTAAAAGTATTTTTCTGTTTCAGATTTTAGAACACTATGACAAAATCGAAGAAGCAAAAGATATTCTGGCACAGTACAGGGACAAAAATACAGAAAATCTAAATGCTCACAAATATGTCTACTATTTCTGTGTAAGAAATGGTTTCTTTGAACATGATGAGATTCAATTATTAATGGTAATAATGTATTAGAATTCAATTTAAGTAGTATATTTATTTGATTCATGGGGGGTGGGGGGGGGGGGGGGGGGGGGGGGGGGGGGGTGGGTAGGGGGGCTTTTTATTGCTAATACATGATAGAGAGAATTTTTTATGCTTTGATTAGATTTTTACCAATAAAAAGTGAGAACAAGCAAACTACAGTTGATTGTCAAAAATAAGCAACTAGATAGAAAAAAAATAGTGAGTTAAAAAATAGAGAAATAACTGTTCTTGGTATCCTAGCATTTTCATTTTTATACGCCTGTTTATTTTACGTCTGTTTACGGGACGTATTATGGTATACCGTTGTCCGTCCGTCCGTCCTATGTCAACATGTCAGACAATAACTCAATAACGCTTTAACCAATATTCATGAAACTTTGGTGAGTTGTTTATATCTATTAATGTAAGCTCCCTTTCGTATTTTAGGTTTTATGTTTCTGAGTTATGGGATTTTATTCATAAAATAGGGGTGATTTTCCAGTTTTCGGACAATAACTTAAAAACGCTTTTTATTTTGAATAGTATCAATTTTTAAACCTTATTTCAGCCTTAATGCATTTAATTGCTTCACCATCTCTAATTCAATGTTGTTTTTCTTTCAGAATATAGCAGAAAAATGTCCCTCAGATTCCTTGGTTTTACCGTTATGCAATAAACTGGTTGAAGGTTTGTATTTATTTTGCATCCACGATTTTTTTCCAAATCTGTATAGGGAACTGTTAATTTTTGAACATCATAAATTTTTAAGAACAGTTAAGAATGATAAATGAATAGATAAAAAGGTAGAATAAATCAATAATTAATGAAAAAGATAGACGAATTTATAACATTGGTTGTAATGAAATACCTTGATCTCCAAGTTGAATAAAAACAGATAATTTCACATGTTAAATAAATTCGATAATTTCACTCATCTGACATCATACAACAATGATTGTTGTTTAGACTTTCTGTATCATTTTGCATCAAAACAAATTGCAAACATATAGAAAAATATATGCCGGTAGGTCCTGGTATTTTATACTTTATTTCCATTTAAAAGCCAATGGTCAATGTAATAAAAAGAATAGCTAATAAAAAAATACAAGTATCAAAAATATTCAACTTGTGATCTAACAAAACAGATAATTCATTTGTGGCCTACTGACATTTGTGAATTAATGTGTTGTTCGGTGACTATCTAAATGTTTTTCTATATTTAAATTCTTCGTTTAGTTTATATTCTCAAAATAATTGTTATGTTACAGATAATAAGATACGAGAAGCCTTGAAGTTCCTGTTTGATTTGCTGGATTACTGTTGTTGGCAGCAACAATTAAAAGCTTGGAAATTTCTGGTAGATTTGATTGCAATAAGAAACAAAAGGTTGGTAAGAAAGAATGATGCACATACTTAAAAGATTGTTTTGAAAAATAAAAGTTTGTTTAGTTTACAACCTAAGCCCATAACCAAATTGTTGTAAAAAAATAAACATAGGTATTGTCAACATATATTTGTTCCTAATAATATTTATTCCTGAGGGAAACAATATTATAATGATATATGTTCTGCAGAATTTCTGTCATGGAATACTTTTTCCACCTGTTTTATATTTGTTTGACTGATATTAGGAACTTATCTTATATGTTGATTAGTAAAACAACAAATGTTCCTATTAAGGAAGTTCACTTGTCATGTTTTGGAATTTATGTCAGATTTTCGAAATCCTCTGGTTTTATCTATTTGAATGCCTTAAAAAAATTTGCTCATTGACCCCCATTTTTCTTTTAAAAAATCTTTTACATGCATAATTATAAGCCATCTGTAAAAGTCTTATAAAATCTTAATTACTTTTTAATAGTTTTGAGAACTTTAACTTGTCAATGATAAAGCTATGAAAAATCAAGAGAATATTTTCCCGTCAAAATTTCAATGGCTAATATCTCGAAAAACAAACACATTGACCTATATTTTATTTTTGCTCTTTTTGTTCCTTTATTAATCCCCTATCAATATATACTAGTGTTATGAAAAGCTTGTTATTTTGAAACTGAGTAGTGAACTTCCTTAAGCTGATGATTTGTTTACATCTGATTGATTATTATCTAAATCAAAACAGCATTTTATGTGCTGATTATTTAATTATTATGTAATTTGAAAAGTGTTAATGAGTTAGATATATTCACCTGTACACAATACATGTATGTACAAACAAACATGAAGGCTGATGAATATGAAAAAATATTTATGTTCCTTAATGATGGATCATATGTTGAAGGTAAGTAAATATGTTAACAATTCAGCTGTGAAATATAAATGTAAATTCTAATGAGACAAATATCATTTATATGAAAAATATGCATGCCAGTAATTGTGGATAATTTGAAATGATTATTTAATGTCAGCACCATTGTGAACAATTATTTCCCATATTCACGATACCTGTTCTTTTACTAGTATTCTTTCTACTAGTTACATCAGAATAATAATTGTACATACTAATTTACCATTCCGGCATTTGTAATAGATAGAACATAATAATATTTTCGGGTCGGAATAGATATTATATAATACTTTTTCCAATCGGAATGAATAGTACATAATACTTTTTACAATCGGAATAGATATTACAATATACTTTTTCCATTCGGAATAGATATTACATAATATTTATTCCTTTTGGAATAGATATTTATGCATAATATTTTTTCCATTCGGAATAGATATTACATGCTACTTTTTCCTTTTGGAATAGATATTACATAATATTTTTTTCCATTGGGAATAGATATTACATAATACTTTTTCCTTTTGGAATATATATTGCATAATTTTTTTTTTTTCGGAATAGATATTACATAATACTTTTACCATGCCATAATAACACTTTGAAAAGGGTTTAATATTACATAATACTTTTTTACAATCGGAATAAATATTACATAATACTTTTCCATTTGGAATAGATATTACAATATACTTTTTCCATTCAGAATAGATATTACATAATATTTTTTTTTCATTTGGAATAGATATTACATAATACTTTTACCATGCCATAATAACACTTTGGAAAGGGTTTAACATGTCAGATTGTCAAAATGATAAAAGTCAAAATGTTATGCCAGTCACACTATAAAACTTCCACCATAATATTTATTCCAAAGATACTTTATTACTTTATTCCAAAAATACTAGGCTATTTTATTTTTTGCTTTGACGCCTTACTGCAAAGCAAAAAAATAAAATAGCCTTTCAAGACGCAGTAAGGCATCAAAGCAAAAAAATAAAATAGCCTTTCAAGACGCAGTAAGGCATCAAAGCAAAAAATTAAAATAGCCTTTCAAGGCGCAGTAAGGCGTCAAAGCAAAAAAATAAAATAACCTTACAAGACGCAGTAAGGCGTCAAAGCAAAAAAATGAAATAGCTTTTCAAGACGCAGTAAGGCATCAAAGCAAAAAAATAAAATAGCCTTTCTAGACATAATTATTTGGACTATCCTGATGAATGTATATCTAGGAAAGTGCTTAGGACACATGCAAATTTATAATAGATTCTGTGGCAATGATTTAGATTTTCATTTCAGTTCAGAAGTGATTCATACTTTAGAAGAGAGTTGGAAGATAAGACAGTCGTGGTGGCCTCAATATCATTTTACCAGCTATGACTGTCCAGAAAGTGGAGAGGAATGTGAATTATGTTTATGTAAATCCAAATATGCAGCATATGTTTTAGGTCAAGGTCAGTTTTACTTATTCATTTGTTTATTCCATACTCTTGCATGTTCTATTTTAAGCTTTCAAATGTTTTGGTGTGAGCAATCATGATGAAGATAAATCCTGAAAAGTCCACATGTTCACATCTTCGGCCTCTTTTTTTGTTCAACTTATGTAAACCAGTCAATGAAACAGTCAACCAAAGCCATAAAATACCAGAAAGCATTCATATCAACATAAAGTCGCCAACAATTTACAAGTGTTCATTCAATATTATTACGCTCTAAATTAAAAAAAGTAATGAATAAATTTAACAGAGACTATATAAAAATGAAAATCAAATCCAAATTCTCTAAATAACTAATGACAACCATATGAACAGCAATAAGTATTTGTGATAATGATATTCAAATGAAAAAAAAATGGTCCAACTATTTTGTTTTTAATTAATTTTTTTTTTATTTTTCAGATTTTCAAAATATACATAAAGACTTTCAACATTTGAGTAAGACGCAGATACAAATGTTAATGTCCTCAGTGACTTGATTATAAAAGTAAGACATTCCCGAATGACTCCATATTTATTGAATGATGAAATCTACTGAAGAGATTTCAAAACAGATACTTGTTCCCATGACAACAGGTTAGAGGATGGAATGTTTGACTCGCTTGGAAAGACCAAAACAAAAAGAAGATAACAAAGTGAACAAATAAAGTTCTAAATATCATTCTCATTACATGTGTTTTTTTAGCTTGATTGTTATACTGGCAACTGACGAAATTTGCAGCAGTTTTATTCAATATAACAAATTAAAATTGAAGTGAAAACAGGGCAAATATAAGATGTTGAAAAAGATTGCCAAAATAACATGATCAATGTGTTAATATTTTTTGGTTTGTAATAAACAAAGCAATAACCAATACACAAGTATATCAAAATCAAGTATTCTTATCTTAATGAGATTTAAAATTTGAGCTTAAGATACTTCTGTGTTACGATTCCTTGTATAACAATAATAAAAAAAAACATGTATAGATAGACGAAAACTGCAATTTATTTTTGATGTAATGAGCACTGGCAAAACAGCAATTATTGACTATTTTATAAAGATTAATTTGTGATGATCCATAGATTGTTGTCGAAACTCAAGCATTTTGAATATAATGTAGAAGAAAAACAAATAAATTACTTTTACATACAGATATTTTGTATGAATTTTCTCTGTAATAAAAAACAAAAAATATCAAAACTTTCATTTTTAAACATGCTACATTGTCCATAATTTACCCTTCTTGAATGTTCTTCAAATTATGTGTATTTAAATTTGCAGGAAGAGTATTTATTTCAAGAATATATTATGGGGTCTTGAATTTATTGTGATTTTTTTCCATGAGTTTGCCCTTTATGCGAAATATTTTACCACAAGCAATAGCAAGGGGTAAAACATCAACATAAAGGGACAACCCATTGTAAAATCAATATAATACAAGTCACCATCAGTGATTTCTATTTTTAAAGGACAAAGACAGCAATTTTGGATGGAAGCACTCTAGGTAAAGGGAAATACTTGCTGTTCCTGTAATTAAACACACTATTTATATTTACATATATGATGAAGAAAACTGAATAAGTGACATTCTAAAATGTTTTTCAGTAACATACTTAGACAGGTTTGGACAAAGTTGGTTGATTTTTTTTTTTTTTTTTTAAGAAAATGGGCTTTCAACAAAATCTTTTCATCATTTCTTTATGTTTCTTTTGTTTTGATGACTTTTAGTTTCAGATTCTTGCATTTTCTTTTAGAATGATTATATTCTTATCTCATGGTATTGACGTCATTTGTGCCGTTTGACCTTGTGTTATTCATTCATAAAAAGCTAACAACGCGGGAGTAAGATTGGAACAGCCCAACCAATCCATTATGTTGAGGATCAGCTGACATATCAATATTTTGGTTTTTTACCAGGGGTGTGTACTCAATTTGTTTGAAGAACGTCATATTGGAATATTTATTCTCTGTCAGTTGATAAAGGTAATGTTGTTACCAGTACTATGATTTTTTTAAAGCAAAATTAGTTAATGAAAGGATGAAATTTGAAAAAAATAGGCAGGACAGGAGTTTTGAGTAAAAAAAAAGGCAGGATGAGCAACTTGGCAAAAAAAAAGCAAGATGACAATTTATGTAAAAAAATTCAGGATAAACTAATAAAAAAAAAGGCAGGACCGAATCGAGTGAAAAATAAAAAGGCAGGACAGAAATTACAACTAAAAAAAATGCAGGGCAAAATTTTTCATCCTAGCCGTCCCAAAAAACAAATGGTAGCTCCCTTACATAACATGGTCTTGCCAACATGAATGTGACCTACCAATTTAGACTTATCTACGTGGTTGTACTTGCAAGAGCAACATGAAGGGTGCCACACGTGGAGCAGGATCTGCTTACCCTTCTAGGGTACCAGAGATCAATCCTGTTTTTTTTAGGTGTTCCTGTTGCTCATTCATTAGTTTTCGATGTTGTGTTTTGCAAACTGTTGTTTGTCTTTTGATAATTTTTTGGTTTTTGCCATGTCAGTGTCAGGTCGTTTTTGATATATGAGTTTGGAGATTGGGCATTGTTGGAAATGCATATAGATTCATGCAAGCGACACAGGCTCTTTACTAAGAGCCTCTAGTTTAATATCACACGACCAACATTTCGAGACATGTCAAGTGATTCATTGTGCAACGTCTTCACACACCCTCAGAAATGGCCCAGGAATATGCTTATCCTTTCAAAGCAAACTACATTTTGCTTATGCTTTCTATAGGATGATATACCGTGTCAGATTTAGCAGTGTACGCTGTTTACTTTAGCGCTTGTTTTTGTGATTAATTGTTTTCTTGTTATTAGATAGTATTAATCTGGTTTTACACATTCTGACTTTTAGGCACTGGCTGCGATTATGTTGAAAAATTAATAATCATTAAAAAATATTGTTGCTTTTAAGACTAATTAACGAAATGCAATGTAGGGTTGGAAACCAATTAATAAAGTATGTAACAATAATATGTTTGTCTATGGTTACATTGTGTTATTGTTAAGTTAAATATATTAAATCTTTAACAGACTCCAGTTTGTTGTAGAATTCTCTTATATTCTTGATTATTATAGTAACTGTTATGATAAATATTACATTTCAACAAATAATGTTTAAATGGTTTGTTAAGTATTGTTTTATCGTTTTTCAAGATAAAACTATAGTTTGATATAGCCACAAAGGCGAAGAAGATAGTTCAATAGTCCGATTTTAGAAGAAGAGAGTCCATTTCTATGTGTTAAACTGCATGCGTACCCTGTCACTTGAGTAGAAAGATATAAGAATGTGTGGTATGAGTGCCAATGAGACAACTCTCCATCCAAGTCTCAATGGGTAAAAAGTAAACAATTATAGGTCAAAGTACTGTCTTCAACACAGAGCCTTGGATCACACCGAACAGCAAGGCCTTGTTATCTCTTCATTTACTTTTTGTTTATCAAAAATACAAAATACAACAAAAAGGTTAGATTTTTTCAAGATACTAATTCACTTGATGATTTAATCCTTTATTCTTTTAATGTTCTGGAAACGGAGACAAGATATTTTTTATAAAACCTCTTGTAATAATGAGGCTTTTTAAAATATCGATCTGGTAATTTATGTGAGGCAGTTGTTAGGTGGTATGCAAAAGCTTTTAATCCCTCCATTATTTTTTCGCTTGTAGGAGTAATTTCTGATGCAGGTAGAAAAAAGGCCATATCTCCTTCATCCCTAAGTTCAATTGTATATGAGTACTTGATTCTTGCTCCACCTCTTGCATAATCATCTGACGCTCCAGCAATTAAACCAAATTCTGGTATAAAGGAATTTTGGTCCACTCTGTATTTCTTTTGATGCTTAGTAAATATCGCAGCTGCTGCAACTTTACCAGCGTCCTGTAGATCTTGTTTATCTTCTAATTTTTCTAATGAGTAACCTATAGGATATGACATTATCTGTCCATAATTATGGAAAGTCCAGTAAGCAAGGAAGTTAGTTTTCTTCTTTTTATTTCTACCCATCACTCTCATCAGGGCTTTACTTTCTTCCTCTGTAAAAGGACCTGTACCGGCAAATCTCTCATAGTCACAAGGGTCTGTTGAGCCACCAACGGCAGGATTCCAAGATTCGTCGTCAAAACCAAAATTTCTATTCAAATCAACCCCAAAACATTTAGGATCATAGGAAGTCTGTCTTCGATTTTTCCTCCAGCAAGGATCTGTTGTATAGCTATAAACGTAACCATCTGGATTGAGTACAGGGATGATATACCAGTCATACATGTCGACCAATTTTTCTATGGCAGGATCCTATGTAGGGTTATTCTTAAGTTGGTTAATAATATACAGCACTACCGCTGGTGAAATCCATTCACGTGCATGTATCCCGCCATCTATCAAAATCGCAGGTTTCATTTTGCGTCTTCTTTTTCCACATCTCCCATTTTCCTTTTTGAATATCTTGATTAAATGTATTTTTCGATTTTCTGCAGTTTTGCCTATTTTTTCTCTATAAGCAAATATCTTCCCCTTACCTGATGGTCCGACGGATGGTTGATAACTTAGTGATGTCAGAAATTTTTCTATTACTGGGTATTTGTTATATTTCGTAAAGTCTATATGTCGAGCGTTTGAAAGGCCCTTTTGTCGTTCTTTTATATTGTCCTTGATTGCCGGATTTTTTTTGATAGCCTCTACTACTCCTGGAGACTTGCATTCCGGGACGCAATCTGAGACAGTGTTGACAATCAGGAATGACAAAACAAGAAAACTCTTCATTTTGAGGTTATTCTGAAATTTTGATAAATCTATATGGTTACTCTAATTAAAACGGGTTATTACCCTCTTCTCTACAATTAAGCTCAAATAATTTAATTTTGGTTATTATCTTGAATTATTCTTCTGATTGGCTGACAGTGTTTTGTCTATCAGCTCATAGACATAATTATTCATGTGACCATGACGTCATCAACGTTTTTTCATGATTTACTCCGGCTTAAAATGGAATTTAGAATTAAATTACGCGGGTTATTCAGTGTGCATCAAATTTTTTTATTTTATTTCTTCATAGACAAGGAAAAACCTATTAGAGTTATTCCTTAAATAACACACAAAAGGGGGCCAAATGCCAACATAACAACTACACATACAATTTGAAAGAACACCATCATAATGACATGAATATCAACTAAAATATCAAACTCACAGCAAATGACCTTAATTGCCCTTGTCCTCCGTTTCATAAACTGTTATTGGATGGATGTATTATTTTTCGAGGAAGGAAAGTGTGATTGCTACTTAATCGTTAATAAAATGAATTGGCAATATAAATACGCATCCCTCTGAAGAGTTTTCTTGGCGATAATGTTATAATAGTCTCAATGTCTTAAGCATCAATATCTAAAATTATTTTTTTTCTGTGAAAAGGACATTGTACGAAGGCCAATATACGTTTTTTCTTTAAATTAGAAATATTGCAAATCTTTCTCATACACCATAGTTTTATAATTATTTTGTCTTTGATATAAACGTATGTCCACACGAAGTATATATCTCCCATTTGATACGATATTCCAGAGCTTGCATTTCCTTTCGTTTTTTCCTTGATAGAGAGTTGCTGAACACTAGGAAGCTATTAAACCCAAAATTTCCAAGTGGTGAAGCTATAATCACCCCTTTGAACATTTCACGGACACATTTAAAAGTTGGTTTACTGTTCTTGAATATATCTTTCACAGATGCATATGTTTCAATTGCTGATAGGGATATTTCTGGGAGGAAGAAGGATTTTTTAAATGTATATCCTTGCCTTTTTAGAGTTAAAAATAAATACACTTTGTCAAAACAGAATGAAAATAAATAGTTTACCCTTCAACATGCAGGATATAAAAATTTAAATAACAAAACCGAACTCCGATGAAAATTCAATACGGAAAGTCCCTATTCTAATGGCAAAACCAAAAGCTCAAACACATCAAACGAATGGATAACAATGTGTACACAAGTTTGAGCAAATAAGCTATACTCAGAAAAAGATGAAAATGAATATTCTGCCAAAAACCAATCCGACTGACACAAGAATGTCGAATGACTGTCTCTTAAACACAATCCCATCCAAAAATCTCGATGTATATTTACCGGATCCAGAGTATATAATGGAAGTTTAAAGTGCAACTGAGACAACTTTTAAGATATGAAAAGATCATAACAAAAACATAAGATAGGTCAAAATAAATTATATATAATGTCTTCAAAATATAAAGAACTACACTTACTTTTAAGTTGTGTAGATTGGCAAAGACCATTTACTAGAGGTTCCAAACAACATAAATCACTGAAATGGTAAACATTCAGTATCAATTCAAATATTAATGTCATGACAAAACGAAATAAATACCAAATTGTCTATTATGTTTTTTTACAGATCATGCATTACTGATAATTTTTGATCATTTTTTAAATTGATGTATATTTTCAAAATGAGTCAAATCGCAAAAGTTGTCAAACAATTCATATTAGGACAACAACTAAAAGAAGTCGATTAATTGTTTCAGTCATTTTAAAATTTATCTAGATCAATAATCTTATAAATACTGATGAAGATCTTTTTTAAAGTAAGAAACTATGTCCAATTGTTCAAGAAATTATAAGATATGGAAAACGAATTGTTTCTATCAACCTCAAGTTGTTGAAATACTTTACGGATGTACTAAGATTAAGAAATCAAAAGACTCATTATATGTTTTTCGCTAATTCGATAATATATTTATATATTTATGATGATTACGATTTTCCAATTTATACTCCTCCTGCTTTTCCTTTTTTTCTCGGGTTTAAATGTAAACAACTCGAACCTTAAGTCACACATTCATTTTGGCTACAACAGTATTACCATATTAAAACAATAATAATGATAAATGCATACCTATGACGTGCAGAGTGTCTTCAGCAATGAACGAAAAAAAGAACACATTCAAATGTAACAAATGTGTGCAATTTGAGAAAACACAGCTTGATAATTGATATGGGTCGTTTTTATACAATCAGTTAATGACCTTTATAAATTGAACCTTGTTCAACGGACAACCTTGGACAACTTTAGCTATTTTATTTTAGACCTACCAATGCCACAAAAACATGCATATTTAATCAAATTGAGTCAAATACATCAAACAAACATAAGAGATGTTGATTTTTAAAAACAGCAGATGGTTTAATTGAGAATCAGCATACTTTAGAATACATTAAGTTAATTTCTGTAATTTTGTTATTAAGAAAATAGAAGTTATACAGTCAGGTGCAGATAAAAAGAGTCAGTCCAGAATGTTACAAAAACCAAAATATGAAAACACCCAAAAAAAGAAGAGTCCAAACTGTAATTAGTAGAAAAAAATATGTAAATATCCAGTGGCAACTTTGTAGGAAAAGCTTTGAAAAAATCATTATTAGAACATAACTTAATTGGCTTTCACAGATGAAAGTGATTCGTTCACCGAGGTCTTAACCATACGAACAAACAATGACAAAATTTAGATTTTCAGCACAATATATAGTAGGTTCTTAGACCCTAAGCCACAGTTTGTTGATTCTACTAATTACTCAAGCAATTGTGTTGTAACAACATACACACATCCGTTTCAAATGCGTGAAACACGCATGTGTTTGAGACGTTTTCTGCAACGCATGTGACACGTGTGTGGAGAACGCATGTGATACATGTACATATGAGTCACGCATGTTTTTTGTGTTTCACGTTCGTGTTTCATGCGTAATCAAACACCTGCATGGAATATGCGTATTTTGAGACATAGGCAATTCACATGCGTGGCCACACACGTGAAAGCATGTGTGCCACGCATGTTTTACATGCGAGCATGAAAAAAACGTGTTTCGCATGTGATGTGCCTGTAACACATGCGTTTCAAGGTACATGCATGACACATGTGGACATTTTTCCCCTAGTATATAAGTAACTGTAATTTTGAATGTCACAATAGAACCGTTATTCTACCCTTAAAATCTATTCTGTCTAGGACAGTTTTGTTTAGAACGT